CAATAAATATAGAACCTTTGAGTGTTGGTCAGCACACTTGGCAGCAGACGATAGGGTTTAGGCTTGTCAGGAGGGACTTGCATGTGGAGGATCGGACGTGGCCGAGGAGGACGGGATGTGGTTGAGGAGGACGGGACGTGGTCGGGGAGGGCGGGACGTGGGCGGGGAGGGCGGGACGTGGGCGGGGAGGGCGGGACGTGGGCGGGGAGGGCGGGACGTGGGCGAGGAGGGCGGGACGTGGGCGAGGAGGGCGGGACGTGGGCGAGGAGGGCGGGACGTGGGCGAGGAGGGCGGGACGTGGGCGAGGAGGGCGGGACGTACCCCCCGGCGCAGTGTCCCCCGCTATGTGTCGCCGTTCGTAGGGGCACGCAATCCTGTGCAGTCCTCTCGAGGCTATGCCTACACAGCCTCGCGCGCATGGGCAGTCAAGTGCCGGCACCTTCTCAGGACAGCGCCGGTGCCTCTCTCTTGGACCGGCAAACGTGGTGGTCTCGTGTCACCAATGTGGGACCAGTGCGGCATCGCGCCATCGACAGCTCTGAACTGCGCCTCACCACTGACCGGGAAGGCCGCCAAGTGGGCCAGCACAGGTCGCATATTGTGGCAGCAGTCAGCAGTGCATGCCTGATAGCTAGAGCAGCAGCGTCAGGGTCGCAGGGTCGGATCGTCTCAAGCCTCTCGCCCGGCCGGCCGCGTGCAGACGTCGGCCTGTCTGCTGTCTGGAGTGATCTGTCGGCGGTCAGTACGACCGATCAGGTCGGAGTTTTCTGATGGTTGGAGGGTCTATCTGTATGTACTCCTCGAGATCTCTCCAAATCTGCCCTCTACTCAACCGTACTCATTCGGGAAGTCGGTGGTATGAGCGACTCTGAGCGCCGGAGCCCCGTTTCCGCACTGCTGCGCGGCGCACGGTGCCTCCGGGGGCCCCCGCGCCCCCCAGAGGTGCAGTCAGGGCAAGTCCAAGTGGGGCGGGGTGGAGTGCCCAGCAGCGTGCTCCTGGGATTTCTCTGCCCAGTCCGGGGGTGCGTCGAACCTTCCAACTTCCATCACCCTGTCGGAACCACGGAAGCGGCGCGTGCCGGTGGAGGCTCCGGGTTTTGGAAGTGGAAGTACGTTATATTACTTTTTTTGGTGTCTGAAACTAGACTCTAGAGTGTAGAGATGTTAGTACACACTCAGCCCCACAGGGTCATGCGAGGATAGTGCGGGTTCCACGCATCGTAGACGTGCACCGTCCGGACCACGTGATTCGGGTCGGTCGCCTGCATCGGCACGGGCGGTGGAACCAAGGCGGCCATAAACGCGCGGTGGCGCTCCTCGGCTCTGGCCGCCTGGCGCTGCTGACGGCGCTCCTCTTTACGCTGCATCCAGGCGAGCCGCCCCGCGGGGAACAGCGGAGCGCTGGGCGGCGGAGGCAGCGGTGGAGGCGGCGGCTGGGCCTTCTCAAACCGCGGGTAATCTGAATTTTATCCAAAATATAAAATAAGCCGAGCCGGCCAATCACCCCGGACGCGCCGCAGTTTTGACCGCCCGTCGTCGCCTCATTGGCCTCAAGATTCCTTAAGCCGCCCCCGATGACGCCCACGAAGATCAAGGTCGCCGCCCTCATCGCGCTCCCCGCCACCAAGCGCTGCACCATCTCTGCCCCGAGACCCGCCCCCTCCGCCGCAGGTCGTTAACGCCAATGCGGATGGCTTGACGTCGATGGCTCTAAAGGTCGGCGACCTCTTCGTGAAGCCCGGCCAGGAGATGGAGCTCGAGCCCAATGAAGAGGGTTGTTTGGTCTTCGAGACGACGCGGATGCTCAAGGTGAAGACCGAGGAGAAGGTTCTCCAGGCCAAGGCGGCCAAGGAGGCGGCCAAGGACCTGCCTCCGCAGTACACGTTCGACGCGTGGCAGACGCCTTTGCTCTGCGCATGCCCACCCCAGTGCGCCTTTGGGCCCGACCCATGCTGCCTTCTCCACGTCAAGGGCCTGGCCTGCTCGTGCTGCCCACCTTACTGCAAGTGCTGCTGCATTCAGTGCCCGCCCGAGTGCTGCTCCAACTGCCCGAGCTGCTCCTGCCCCACGTGCACCTGCTGCCCTCCGTCGTGCACTTGGTGCGACATCACGTGCCCGCCAAAGTGCGACTGCATCCCGTGCCCGACGTGCACGTGCTGCCCTCCGTCGTGCACTTGCTGCGACATCACCTGCCCGCCCAAGTGCTGCACCACCTGCGACTGCTGCCCCTCCTGCTGCGGCGTCAAGACGGTCGGCATCGCGTGCATCCTCTGCCACTGCACGACCACAATGTACCCGAAGTGCTGCCCGGCATGCCTCTGCTGCACCGTTGAGGTGATTGACGCCGCTCGCAACAAGAACATCTACCGCGGGAAGGCGGCCGAGGGCGTCTCGTCCGTGGAAGTCAAGATGGACCTGAGCGGCCAGGCCGGCGGACCGGAGGGCGAGGAGATGCAGCGCTAGGCGTTTCGCGTGCGAGCCCCAAGCGCCACGACGGAGACTTTTCGATGCTCGCACTGTGTGAGCGCAGATGCTGCTACGCGGCGCCGGAGCACATCTAGAGATGACAGATGTCGGGGCACCACACTACCAAGGGGGGGGGGGGGGGGGGCTCACCTGAAGCCGGAGCACTTTTGGAGAGCTTTTTGTTCCTTTCATCATTAGCATGGACACTAGTATTATTACCCAGTCCCGGTTTCTCCCGTTAGCGTTACGCTTACCGGAGGCGGAGCGCCCGCGCGCCGCGGAGGTGAGGACCAACAGCAGAGCAAAACAGAAACATAAGGGAGGGATGGGAGGACGGCACGCCGCCACCACACAGGGATTTTTAGGAGAGGAGTGTGGTGCTAGCCGTCGCCCACCGTGTGGGCGGCACGAATTCTTTCATCGGCTTGTGAGGCTGTGAGGGGCGTCCTGTGTGCAGCCCACTTGGTGCAGCCGCTGCGGCCGCGGCCATGTCGCAGACTACGCTGTCTGCCCTCGCCACTCGGATGGCCAACAACGTCAGGGCGTTCCTCACGACGCGGCCGGAGCCGCGCTGGGACCCGACGACCGTCACGATCCGCGGCTGGACCAGCCGATTCCGCGCGATTTGGTCGGCGCAGGGGCTGGGCACGGCGTACAACAAGCTGCGCATGGAGAACTGGCTGCGACCAAACGGGCAGCTCATCGGCACGGACGTCAACGGGAACAAGTGCGTGCAGAATCACGCGCGCGCAAAGCCCGGCCGCGCCGCCACGCCCACCGACGCCACCGCGCAGGTACTTTGAGGATTTGAACGCGCCGTACGGGCGCACGCGGTGGGTCGAGTACCCGACGGTGCCGGGCACATGGGCGCTGGAGGACAAGTTCGACGCGTCGATGGCGCGCCCCACGCGCGTCGCCCCTCTCGCGCGTCCGCGCACCGCTGTCCCGCCACCCGCCACCAATCTCGGCCCCGCTGACTCGGGCTCCCCGAACACCCGCACCTACGAGTCAAGGCCCCGCGAGTCAAGGCCCCCCGCCGCGCAGGTTCACCCCGACTGGCACGGCTGGCTGCACTGCATGCACGACGCGCCAGGCAGCAAGGTGTCTGCAGAGTACTCGAAGCCGTTCAAGCAGCATCACCGCGTGAACCAGGCGCCGACACACTTCCGAGACGCTTCCGAGACGCTTCCGCCGCCACGCCCACACGCCCGCGTGCCGTGCACCGTGCTGCCATGTCGACGCCGGCTCCCCTCCCCCCTCCCCCGCCGCCGCCCTCGCCGCCGCCGCCCTCGCCGCCCCCGCCCTCGCCGCCCCCGCCCTCGCCGCCCCCGCCCTCGCCGCCTCCGCCCTCGTCACCGCCCTCGCCCCCGCCGCCGGCACCGCCTCCCCCGTCGTCGCCGCCGCCGCCACCACCACCTCCAAACCCGCCGCCGCCCTCGCCGGCGTTTCTTTCTTTGACGCCCGCATGCCCGCCGCCCGCCCAGACGATGCTGCGTCCCTGCTACACTACGCCTGCGGGCATCACCTCGAAGCACCACGAGGAGGGCCTGCCCGCCGCGTTCCACACGCCGCCCGGCTCGATCCACATCGAGAAGCCGCGCGGAAAGCTCGGCCACAAGTACCAGAGCTGGGACCCGAGCGGCGAGGCAAAGCCGAGCGAGCTGCGCAACTACGTCGACAACACAAAGATCCTGGGCATGCCCTGAGGAGGGAGGGGGGGGAGAGCGCCCCACGCCACACGACACACGCGCGCGGCTCGTAGAGAGTCTAGAGGGCGGGAGCCGAAGAGCGGTGTGCGAGGCAGAGAGAGAGGATCGCCGCTTTGGGCTTGTTTGGGCGCGCCACTTGTCTGCCCTGCCGTGTCTCGAGACTCGCTCGTCGTCCGCGTGCGGTGTTCCGGTGTGTACATATGATAGATTTCTCTCCCTTTGACTTTGATGGAGTACACGTAGAAATGCAGATAAGGTGAATGTGTCTCTGAGGATGTCTCCGCAACCCACAACCTCCGGACATACGTGAGTACTCTGAGACACAGACAGAGTGCACCCAGATCCCAGACTGCGCGCGGAGCGGCGCGTGGGGGGCCGTGGCGCGTGGGACCACAGTGTGCAGTGACACTGACAGCGCGCGTGCAGATAGACACACCTCTGTCACCTGAAAGGGCAAAGTCCTCCGGGCTACTACGAGAAAATGGTAAGAGAGACCGCGCGTGCCGGAGAGTGCGCTCTAGTCGTGTGCGAGTGTGCGTGTCAGTGTGCTTGCGGGATTGCAGTGTGCAGAGCCAGAGGGATAGGCGATAGGCCGTGGCCAGAAGCTCACGCGCAGACAGGTAACACGAGCCAAGCGTAATAGCTAATACGCCAGTGGGTGGGGGGCTGGAGAGCCGTAGGGTGGCGTGGGTGAGGGCGAGGGCATGTGTGTGCACGTGCTGACTACGCAAAGCCAGGCACCCTAGAGAAGGCGAGGCGCTTGGGAGCAAAGAGCTGCTCCTCGCACGCGCAATCGATGAACGCGGGAGTCGATGACGGTGCCATTGAGCTCCTCCTCCTCTGCCCATCCTTTGGGGTCTGCGGCGACGCGTCGGAGCGCCCGCGCTTGCAGCCCCCCTGCCGCGGGCTCGAAGGCGGCGTGCTGTAGACGCGCGCGAGGTGGAGAGGGCGGGCAACGGGCGGACCCGCGCACAGCCACGGTGTGCTCGCCACGCTCTCCGCCGACGGTCGCAACCGCCAGTCGATTCGCAGCAGCGATTCGAGCAGTCCGAGGAGAGCTGCCGTGAGGGTGCACGGCCGGCCATAGTACTCAAAGATGAGCGGAACGCTCGGCTCGCCTGCCGCTTGCGCCACCGCCATCTGCTCCAGCAGCGGCGACGCAACGTCAGCCGAAGTGAAGGGAAATATGCCCGCCACCATCGCAAACAGGCAGATCCCGAGCGACCACATATCCGCAGCGTATCCATCGTAGCCCGGCACCAGGCTGCTCGCAGAGCCAGAGGTGTTGCTCTTGCGCAGCGCGTACACCTCGGGGGCGAGGTAGGAGTCGGAGCCGCATGCGCTGAAGAGCCCCCCGGCAGCGGGTTGGCGCGCGGCCGCGCTCGGGCTCCGCTCGGTCTCGCTGAGGGCCGCATCAAAGACCTTTGCCAGCCCAAAGTCGATCCTGAGGCGGGGGGGGGGGGGGGTAGGGCTCTTGAGCGCCACCTCCCAGTCGCCGCTGGCGGCGTGAGGCGAAGACCGCACCAGCGCAGCGCGCCGTCCGCGTCGAAGACCGCATTCTCGAGCTTGAGGTCACGGTGCGCCACCCCACGGGTGTGCATCTCCAGGACGCCCGCGGCCATATGCCCAAAGATGGGCCGAGCCTCGGCCTCCGTCAGCCCCGCCAGCACGCGCGAAAAGAGCTCGCCGCCACCGGCGGCCTCCATCACGATCGCGTGCATGCCGCTCGCGGCGTGGTAGAGGTGTGCCCTACCAACGCGCGAGGCGGTGAGTGAGCGCTGGCTGGGGGAGTCGCTGCCCGCCGGCGTCGCGCACCGATAACCCACCACGTGCCTCGCGCCTCGCATTCGGCGCATCGCGCGGACCTCGTCGCGAGCGGCGGCGAGATGGGTGCAGGTGCCGGTGCATGAGGCGCAGGTGGAGCGGAGCTGCTTGATGGCCAGCAGCTCGCCCGTCTTCGTATCGACAGCGCGCCGCACACGACTGCGAAGCAGGTGGGGCAGAGGCGCTGCTGAGGCGAGAGCATGGCGGGCGCTTGAGGTGACAGTGTGCGAGTGGGGACCTGAACCCACCGCTGCCATAGTCCGCGTTCTTCACGACAAAGCAGCCGCTGCAGAGGGCGTCAATGTCGACGACCGACATGATTTGAGGCAGAGGCGGCATTGACGCGTCGCGCGGGTCAGCGTTGGCGGCGCGAGTGGATTCAGCCCAAGTTTGGGAGGGCGTCGCGCCGTTCGTCTGCGGCAGGAGGTCGGCTTGCTCGCAAAGCATATTGGAGGCGAGAAGCGTCTCGTTGCGGACCGCTCGGTTAGCCAGAGCTCTCACTGGCTGCGCAAACAAGCTAGCGGACCACAATGACAGCGACGATAGGCCAAGAGCGGGTCAACAACGAAAGCAGGTCCAGTCCGTTCAAGTCTATGTTCGGGAGATTTCTTTGAGAAGTTCCTAGAGACGAAGGAAAACTGCCGCAACGGCGGACTGCGAGCCTTCAGCAACTTTATACGACGGGTAAAAGGTGTGGGACTGCCAAGGCAGGCGGCATGCAAACACACACAGAATGCAGAGAGAGCTACATGCATGAGCATGTGCATGTGGTTGATCCGCCTCGCTCGCTCGCTGCGTCGCTGGCAGAAACAAAGAAAGAACTCCCTCTGACACAGGTACACCACGGGAGCCGCCAAAGCGACTCCTGCGAGAATCAAAGAACTTTAACCAACGACAAAGTGTGTCGCCTGTCGCGCGCCTTGGCCCCTTGGGGGGTCTCACTCACTGAGCCCTTCGCAGGGCGAGTACCACAGAAGAAATATTGGCTCCAGACAGTCGCGCCACCTGCACAAGCAGCATCTTGGAAGGACGACCACCAGGGACACCAGGGGAACGGGAGCGGGGAGCGCATCGCGACACGTAGCGGGGGCTGGGCAGGATTCACCCACACGACAGGGTCCTGAAAGATAGAAAACAGGCCCGCCAAGGGACTCGAGCCAAGGGAGGGATGGCATGGGAGGCGCGGCACACGCCGCTAACCACACAGGGATTTTAAGGAGAGGAGTGTGGTGCTAGCCGTCGCCCAGCCCACCCTTGGGCTATCTCTTCGCAGTCTCTCGCCAATTCTCGCAGCAACCTTCATGCCACCTCGCAGTAATTTGAGCCCTTAGAATTTTACAACCAATCTCCCTCTCACTCACAACACTCAACACTAGGAAGAGAACTCTTACCTTGCCCAAAATTCTTTCGCGCGGGCGGTCGGTCGAGTGCACGGAGCTAAGTGCCTCGCCATCCTCGGCAGGAGTCGCTTTCGCGGCTCCCGTGGTGTACCTGTGTTAGTGCCAGTGCGCGCCAGTCCCGTGCCCACAGTGTCGTGTCGCGCCGCAAAATTCTTTCGCGCTCGTACTAGTACGGTTGCCCAGGCAGCGAATTCGCGGCTCGGCTCACTCATACGCTCACACTGCGACCAACCATGGCGGCCGAGCTCCGCGACCAGCAGGCGCTCCGCGCCGCGCTGCGGGAGACGCTCGACGCCAAGGGCGTTCTGCGGGAGCTGCGGGCGCGGATCCAGGCGGAGGTGTTCTCGGCGGTGCGTGACACGAGCGACCCGCGTCCACGGCTCAGCCAGGAGAAGCTACTGCTCAACGAGGCGATCCGAGAGTACCTCGAGTTTTCAGGGTACAACCACACGCTGTCGGTCTTCCTCGCCGAGGCGGGCCAGCCGGAGGAGAAGCTGGCGCGCCAGGTGGTCGCCGGCCAGCTCCGCCTGCCTCTGCCACGCGCGACGCTGGGCGACCACCGTGGCGGCCCTTCCTCCAAGGAGATACCAGTCCTGTACTCGCTCTTTGCGGACGAGGCATCGCGGCAGGAGCAGCCCGTGCCCCCGCCGGCTGCGGGCGAGGCGACTCCTCGACCGGCGGCGGCGCAGCCGCTGCGGCGCGACCTGCCCTTTAGCATTGCATCTTGATGGCGCTGAGCCCGTGTAGACGCCGCCCGGTGCGTCGTCCGCGCTGCCGTGGCCCCCCTTTTTTAGTTTGCTCGCGCACCGCCACGCCCTCGCGGCCGGCTCTTCGTGGGGGGTGTCAAGGTGCACCGGGAGTTGTGCCGGGAAGTCTGCGCCACGTCGTCCGCCCGGTACGGCTTTACGCGCCCTCCGGGCCGCGCGTTGCGCGAAAGCGCATGACTGTCGAGCACCGATTTACTCAACGTGAGCACCTACGTATACAGTATGACCCTGCCGCCTACTTGTTTTGTTCTTCTCTGCGCTGAAATATCGCCCACCCCCTTGCGTTTGAAAGCCGTTTGCTTGTCGCCTCTCTTCGCATTGTGGCAACGCCCCGTGCCCGAACGCGCCTGCACTCTGCACCCTGTGGGTAGAGTGTACGAGGCTGCTGGCAGAGATGTGTGCAAAGGTCCCTTCGCGCAGGCGCGCAGGCCACGCCGCACACGCGCCGGCTACTATCGCGGCGCTACTCTCGCGCGAAACGTTCTCTGGTCACAGAAAACTGCGGCCGCCAGCGACTGAGCGTCTCGCTGGCGGACGGGGAGAGGAACACAAAGGGACGTCCGGACGTCCATCCACTGGGATGAGAATACTGGAGATCTGAGGTCGAATCTGCCGATTCCACAGCCGCCCACAGGAGCGCCGCCTCAACACGGGGTCTCGGCTCTATCGAGCCATGCTAGCTCCAGCCGCAGCCCCACCCGGCCGCCCGAGGGTGTTCCCGCAGGCAGAGAAGACCAATCCTGGGGGAAGTAACCGAGTGATTCTGAGATCAGGTTGGGCGACTGGCAGACATTTCAAAAATTTGGCGCCGCAGGCGCCCGCTGCGTGCCCACCATGGTTGGGCGCGCAGCGAAGAAAATTTTGCGCTCTCGACAGCCTTTTCTAATAGGAAAATGTGGCCTCTACTCGGCGCCATACCGCTTGTCGGCGCACAGCGGAGTTCGCAAGCCGGACCTGCTGCCTTCCCTTCTACGTACACTTTCAGAATGGAGGCTCAAACGCAGCGCAGGGCTCAGACCAAGTGCAAGTCGATTTGTACCACAAAGTTGGTAGACAGTGCCAAAACCGCGGAACCGAAAATGGCGTTTAATTTCGCGCACCTGCTGTCCGCCGCCTGTGGCGGCGCTCCGCACCGCTTGAGGCGCCTGCGGCGCCCCTGGCGGCGCGCTGTCCGCGCGCCCCTCTGTGGTTTTCGTGGGGGGCTCGGCTCTCGTAAGTCTCGATTTGTACCGGATTTCGACGTTAGTGGCAAAACTGCGGAACCGAAAATGGCGTTTAATTTTGCGCACCTGCTGTCCGCCGCCTGCGGCGGCGCTCCGCGCCGCTTGGGGCGCCTGCGGCGACCCCCTGGCAGTGGCAGCAGTGTGTACGGCTGCACGGGTGCGCCCGGTACACAACCGGCGCTCTATGGCGTGCTCCGGGGGAGCACGACTACGCAGTCGTGGCTTCCACACGCGAGAGAGTGGCTTCTATATTTACGAAAACATTGGGCGTCCCTAGTGCCGCATCCATAAGAAGTGACGTCACGGTTCCAGGAGCGCCTGGCGGCACACGGCTTAGAGTGGCAGCCGAGCGCCGGCCACGACTATCGAGTCGCCGTCGCGGAGCTGAGGGCTGGCCGACGGGTGGCGCGGTCTTCCTCCCAGCGCCACCCATCGGTCAGCCCTCAGATCGATCGATCGGCGCTCAAAGTCGCTTCAGATCCGAGAAAGCTGCTGGCGCCGCTGCCGATCCCAGCCGCGACGCCAGCAGCTTCCTCTGCTCTCCAATGCGCCGAGAAGCGACGCGGCGGTGCTCGGCTCGCCATGCACGATGACGGCTCCGCTGGGTGCTCGTCGGCCGGTCCGGTGGCACCCTATTCGCGCGTCACCTGCCGGCGTCCCGACGACAGCCTCGCGCCGCCGCTGATGGAGGGGCGGTCGGCGCCACTGCCGCCGCGCCGCCGGTGGGAGAGGCACTGGTGGTGGCCTGGGCGGCCCTCCGCCGCCGCTCGGCGCGCCCGGGCAGCGGTGGCAGCCTGCGCCGCCCCCGCTTCGAGCGGGCGCCCCCGCTTCGAGCGGGCGCCCCCCGCTTCCAGCGGGCGCCCGGGACGGGTTCCCCGCTTCGAGCGGGGAGATGCGGCCTGGGATTCGCTTTCTGAAATGTCTGCCTCCAAAGGGGAAACGCCCAACCTGATCTCAGAATCACTCAACCAGCTACACCTCTCCCCCGGGACTCGTGTGCCTCTGTGCCTCACAACTCACACAAACACATTCTCAAATTCATGTGCACATGGGTGGCGCGTCAATAGCATGTGTGCATCAGGGTAGCCGGAGTATCGCATGCGCGTCGCGGACTGCATGTCACCGGCATTTTCCGTCATGTGTCTTGAGCGCTCAACACGCAATCTCGAACAGCGTCCGCGCAGCACGCTCCGCCATGAAGACGTTGCATCCGGGAGTCTCCGAACACTGCGCGGCACATGCGGCGAGCTCCGACTCCCACGTTGCTTGGAGTGGCAGCTGTATGGATCGCTCGGCGCCCACCTCGTACGGCTTCTCAGTGCAGGCCCCGGTATCGCACGCCTCTATCTCACACACCGTGGACGGTGCGACAAGGCAATAGCTCGCCTTGGCCCACTTACGGGTGGGATCCATCTCGCTCGTTGTCGAGGGGACGAACTTGGGGAGCGTTGGGAGGTGGAATTGCGGGCGAACTGGCAAGGGCTCCTCCTCTCCGCTGTCCTTGCCTTCCCATGGCGGCCATGGCAGACCTGCGCACAAAGCTCAAAGGCTCTGTTGTGGGAAGTGCGACTTTGCGAGTGCACGCGTCTGAGCCGTGGGAGGGTGTTACGAGGATTACCTGGGTCGTCGGAGACCTTCGCCTCGGCGCCGGTTATTGCGACGAGCGCGACCCAGAGGAAGCCCATCGACACAACTGGCCAGCTGTCGGGCAAGTTTGAAGTTTGTGAGACACGCACCCCTCTTCATGTGCACTTGAGCACTTGAGCACTGGATAGGGTCGATTCCGCATGGTACGGGACCCCTCGATCGTCTCGCCCTCCCCGCTGGTGTCTGGTGTGTTCATTGGGGGGGGCGGGGGGTCATAACAAACACGCAGTGTCGTCCCCCCTCTCCATCATCTCACACTGAGACGTCGGCGGCGGTGGCGGTGTGACCGATCGAGCTACAAGAGGAGCTGGTCTCTTCATGCCGTTTGCTGGTGAGGAATTCACGATTATCTAGATATCTTGCCCGAGGGGTCCCGTACCATGCGGAATCGGCCCTATCAAGTGCTCAAGTGCTCATCTTGCCCGTAGGAAGCCCGATCCCAATCATCCGGCCCGCTGGGTGCGCTTCTTAGCTCCCCGGCCCTGGGGGTGTGAGGCTACCAACTGCACTCCAACTGCTCCAAGTTGTGCTAGATAGCGTGTTGAAGTGCGTCAGCCTTACCTCGAACTGATCGTTGCCACAAGGCCAGCGTCCTTGACCATGCACACACCCCATATCCGTGTTACTTTTCTCTATTTTCAGGAAAAATTAAAACGCACCGCCAGGTCGAATTCAAAATAAGATCATTCCCGAGCGATTGGGATGGTCAGGATGCGCATGAGATGCTCCCGGTCGCCCCGGTTGGCTTCATGCGCCCTGTAAAATGGCAGCAACAAAACAATCCTTCCCACAGCGGCGGACGTCGCGCGTCACACTAGCCCTTACCGGCCGCATGATGCTGCGGTCAAGGATGCGTTCAACCCCCGTTGCGCAGGATCCCCGTGTCGTTTGCGTTGAAGATTTTGGGAATTTGAAGACGGTGCATGCTCGAATCAAGCGGCGGACACCCTCGAGCGAGGGTGAGCATCACCTCGGCATAGGGGCTCATCTGCAGCAGGAGGCTAGGAAGGGCGAAAAAAGAAAGCTCGGCTTGATGAAGCAGAGCGTATCGGCCATCGCTTCCGACGTGTGCTGTGTTCCTCGCAGCCATGGTCGTCGCCCCCGCCTCCTCCTCCACCGCACTGCACCGCATGAGCTCGCAGCTCGTCGCGGCCGTCGAGCGGCACGCCGTGCGCGTCCGGCCCCGGCCGGAGCTCTTGCAGACAGTGAGCTCTCCTCTTCTCGAAACCGGGGGCTCACCACAGACCAAACCTCACCACAAAGTAGCTCCGCCGGCAGCTCTTGAACGGTGGGTTGCGCCGGCTTGCGGCCGGATGCGCCTCGGCCGAGCGTCGGAGCTCACGCATTCGGGCCAGCTCCACAGCGCAGGGCGACGGCGACAGGAGGGCCTCCGTGGTTGGCTCGAGGCGCGAGAGGTAGTGCAAATTCATCCAAAGGCGCGCGCTGCACTCTCCGCGTGCGTGCGCCTCGCTGGTCCAGGGCCTGCCGCCCCAAGCCTTGGCGCCCCCAATCGTGCCCCAATAGTGGAAGGCGAAATGCTCAGGCCTCTCGTGAGGAAAATAGGCGCCGCCATCGCGATGGCGCAGGAAGAGCATGTACCAGAAAAATCCCTGGTCGCCAAGGGCTGCGTTGAACATCCAGTCGTTACGTCTCTGGGCCGCGGTCGAGTTCGGGTCCGTCATCCAAAACTCTCCCCCCGGCGCGTCGGGGCTGCGTATTGCAGTTAGGCCGCCGCGCACGGGGCTGAGGAAGCGCGGGCGGACGCCGAGCTCGTTGGGACGGCCAACCAACTCCCAGCCATGCGTGTGGTTGAAGCGGCAGCGGCGGAGCACTTTCAGCCCGTCCGCATACAGGCGGCTTTGCGGCCGAAACTACGCGGGGAGGGGAGGGGGGAAACTCATCTTGGAGAGGGCGGGACGTCGAGAGCGCAGCGCACCAACAACATTCCTCCATTCACCGGCGACTCGTGGTCCGCCAGCGCGAGCAGGCTCAGCCGGGCACTGGGTGCGCTGTTGTTGTCCACCCGCAGCTGGCTTCGCCGGCGCAAGAATACGGGCAGAAATGACCGCCAGCGCTGTCGCACAGCCCGGGGTAAGAGGTGCACAGGGAATATGTCCATGTCTAGGTCGATGTGCAGCACCGCGTTGAACTGGGTCATGGAGAAGAACTGCCACTTGAGCAGCATGAACGCGCGCGCCACGCCGTGCCCTTTGCTACGTAGGCATGTTTTCGCGAGGCGGCGAAGCTTGGGGTCGATTGGCAAATAAGCTGCGTCCGGGCAGCCTCCCGACGCTGGCGGCAACATGCCTGTCGCATTGTCCCAGACGACAACGATGCTCGACTGCCAGGGCGGGACAGACAAGACCCGCTGTAGCCGACGCGCCCCCTGGCACCACGCAACGAGGGCGCAATGCTCGCTGGGACCAAACGTGAGGGCTGCGATGGCGAGTCTCAGCTGCCGGCCCTCCGGGGTGGCAGGCGCCTCGGCCGGCGGGGCGTCTAGCTGTCGATTCCAGTTGCGCACTTCTAGCGTGGTCCAGTTTGCGCCAATGTGGGAAACGCCCCACCAAGTTCGGAGGTCGTCAACGTTGCACCTCGAATACCAGGCGCATGCTCCTCTCGCAACGCTGATGTATCGGCACCGCGCACACCCAAGACAACGCTTCACGCAACCCTCCACGCCCTCGCCTGGTGGGGTCGGCCACAGCCCGCTGTCCGCCTCCGCGCACGACCCATCGTAGCTCGCGTGTGCGCGATAGCAGAAGCCACGCAGTGCCATACGAGCGCGTGGGGCTGGTTCCAGATTACGCTAGATTGGGTAGCCGGCACAGTATGACACGTGAAACTACTCAGGGGTAAACTTTCCCGCCCGGGAGCCGCCGACTATTACAGTTGTGCATGTATTGCAATACATGTAGCCTTTAAACGGTGAAGTACGTAAAACCGAGCGTGTCGGAGAGGTGTTTCGACACCGAGTGTTTTGAACGTTTCTTCGCAGAAGAAATCGAAAGAAACTCTCTCGCCGGTGTTCAGAGCTCTGTGAACACCGGCTACTCGGCCTTACTTGCATGCATGCTCATGTGCATGTGCATGTAGCATGAGTTAGCCGCCGGTACGTCAACAGTGCGATAGCCGGACGGACAGCCAACCAACTAGGACCGCGCTAGAGATCAGTCAGCTCTGCGCTCACCGCGGCTCACCGCAGGTGATGGAATGCGTCTGTGTGTGAATGTTTTGGCGTTTGCTGTTTGCTTCACTCCACTCGTTTATTTCAACAATTCTGAAGCTTGATGCTTGAAAATTGGTTGGGTTGGTAAGGTAAGGTAAGGTAAGGTAAGGGAAGGGAAGGTAAATTTCTCCACACACACAAAGTGGTGGGGCAAGGGGGGGCGATCCTCTCGCATCTCCACACATGGGCAGGAGCCCCACGCCACGGCATTCAAAGTGCAAGCACTGGCCCGGTGCACGTGGGTGAGCAGCCTGCCCCTCCCTCCCGACAAACCAACTCCCGCACACACAATCGGCACCTGGGTACCCGAGGCGAAGAACCACCCCAGCGATGCAGAGTGACTTGCTGTGTGTGCTAAGACAGGATCTCCGCAGGCAGCCAAAACGGGCCGTGCCGCGGTGTTGGTGCCTTCTCAAGCACTAGCATCCGGACGTGCCGCATATTCTCGACGGGCGGGTCACCTATCAATGTGGGCCCGGTGCGCACTAGGCGCATATGCTAGCGCAATTTTGCCCTATGGGAGGCAGAGGGAGAGGGGGGGGGGGGGGGCAAAGGTAAGGTGGGGGTGAGACTGGCGTGTGGGGAGGACCTCAGAGGTCCTCCATGGGGGGGGGGAACAGGTCAAAAATGACGCCGGTCCCGCCATCGCCGCCGATGCCGTCGCCCTCGTCCGCCTCGGAGGCGGAGGTCGTCGGGCGGGGCGTCTCGCCCGTCGCGAACCTGCCGCCGAGCGCCGAACACGGCGCCGGCGCCGAGGCGCCGGCGCAGCCGTGATCAGGTCGGCGCGCTTTGGCCATGTCTCTTTGTGTGTCTAAATCTCTACGTCTGTGTGACTCTGTCGTCTGTCTCGCGCTGTGCGCAACTCCTGTGTGCACGATGACCCGGTCTGTCTGTCCGGCTCCACGCTCTCTGACTGTGTCCTGTGCACACATGCCTGTGCAGAGACTGATGACTGTGAAGTGTGATCTGCCCTTTACCGCACACACACAAGACGTAATCCTCCACAAATTCACAGGAATTTGGCCAACAAGCACATACGGTGTAAGCCTCTTCTCCGTCTCCACTCTGTCCTCTTGCTCTGTCTGCTGACTCTGGGCACAGACTGCACACAGCGGGCGGGCGTGCCACCCAAAAATGCGAGACTCCAAGGGACCGCGGGCGTCACTTCGCCTCCGTCCGGCGCACAAGCGCGCCCCCTAAGTGTTGGACGATCGCGCGCGCATGCTCGGGGAGGGCGCGGGGCTGAGGACCGCGTTTCGGCCGACGAGAGCGCCCAGCTCCAAGAAAGCCTGCAGCGAGAGGCTCGTGCGAAGGCCCGCGTCACCGACGAGCCCCTGGAGGTACTCGTCGAGCGCCGCGCGCCTCGTCTCAGCGAACGCCTAGTGGTAGTCATCGACTCTTCGAAAAGAAGCAACACCCATCACCGACGCCAAGCTACGACGCGAGGCACTGAGCGGGACGAATATGCGCCCAAGGGCTTGGGGTGCTATCCCTCCCTCCCTCCCTCCCTCCCTCCCTCCCTCCCTCCCTCCCTCCCTCTCTCTCTCAACGCCCCTCTCTTCTCTCTCTCAACGCCTCGCTCTGCGTCCGGTGCGGCTTGCGCGAAGTCAAATGCGGCAACCGCTCAGCCTACCAGCACCAGTGCCAAACAACGCGTCGGGGGAGCGTCCACGCGGCGTCGCGGCGCGGCAGCCGGTCTTTGGCCGGCGTGGGCAGAGCGCGCAGCCTCGCGTGCAAGCGACGGAACTGCGAGTAGCGGCGCACGAGTAGAAAGCGGAGCCCGGCCGTTTCGACCCGCACCTGAGGTAAGGGAGGCCAAGCGCTAAGCAGCGGAGGTGTGCGGAGACCGGGAGACGGTCTCCGCATGCAGCGTCGGGCGAGGGAAAGAAGAGCCCCCCCCCCCCCCCCCCCGGCGCGCGCAAGGCGCGCGATACACACGGAGGGGAAGCTGCGCTTCCTCCACACCACACAACGGTGGTGGGGCGAGGTCCCCTACCCCACGGTACCCGAACCCACCTGGTAGGCCCACCACCAACGCGGCCCCTCCTCCTTGCGCACGCACGCGACCACGCGCGCGTCAAGCGAGCCGAGGGCCTGCGCGAGTACGGTAAGGCAAGGTACACTTCTCCACACACACGAGGCGGTGGTGGGGCAAGGGCCAGGCTAGCCCTCGCGTCTCCACGTCTGGACGACAGGGCCTGTGTGGTGGATACGCCAACATGAGGGGCGGGAAGAAGGCATGGAGCCGGGCGTGCCGGAGCACCCGGAGCACCGCGTGACGAAGGAGGCGAGTGCAGTGACTACCGCCGAAGCCGGTCGAAGCTGAAGCCGTGCCCTCTCGAGGCGCTGGAAGGGAGACAAGAATACGTGTTCAGCGTCTAGGGCCGAGGGACGTCCGAAGCAGACGGCAGCGACGCCGGAGTAGAAGAGGGCGGAGTGGCGCACGACGAGCCGCCTAGGAAAAAGAAAAAACACGCCGCGGCTAAGAAAGAAAGAAAAGCAAAGGCGGGGGCGAGACCGACGGCCCCGCGCCATGGCCACTCAGCCGCAACGCCACCGCATCCGCAGCCGCGCCAGCCTCGGTGGGGGGGGCGGCTGCGGCGGCGGCCGCCGCCGCCGCCCTCAGCAGGTCGACTTCCTCCCGCAGAGCGTCGGCGCGCGCGGTGGCGCGATGCAGCTCCTCCTTCCGATTCGAGAGCTCGCGGCGGAGAGCGGCGCCCTCCGCCGCCGACGAGGCGAGCTCCGCCCTGAGCGCCTGCGCCTCACGCGTGGCAGCCTGCAGCTGCTGCTTCCGAGACTCGTCCTGCAGCGCCTCGCCCACTGCGCCGCCGCCGCGCACGCCGTCGCCGCCCTCGCCGCCGCCGCCCTCGCCGCCGCCGCGCGCCGGTCCGGCGGTGGCGGCGGCGGCGGCGCGCTCCTCTGCGAGACGCGCCTCCAGCTCGGCGTGCTGCGCCTGGTACCATACCTCTAGAGGATCGAATCCAGTGTGGGTTCAGTCCCGTGGTGGTGTGGTAGCCTGGCGTGCCGCGCCTCCAGAGCCGCGAGTCGCGCCTCGTGCGCCCCCCGCGCCGCCGCCGCCGCCGCCCTCACAGCGTCCAGCTCCGCCGCCGCCGCCGCCGCCGCCGCATCGCGCTCCGCCGCCGCCGCCGCGCGAGAGAGCTCGAGCTCCGCCGCCGCGGCCGCGCGCGCCGCCTCCCGCTCCGCCTCCGCCTCCTCGCCTCGCCTCGCCGCCTCCCGCTCCGCTGCGACTGCGCGCTCCTCCGCCGCGGCTGCGGCGGCGCACTGCGCGGCGGCGTCGGCGGCGTGCCGCGCCGCCAGCTGCTCTTGCACCTCGAGTCGCTGCGCCGTCGCCCTCCGCGTGTCCACCGCCTCCGCTTCGGCCGCCTGCGCCGCCAGCACCGCCTCCTCCAGCTGGCCGACCTGTTCACAGCAACAGGTGTGAAGAGACGCTGTTCACAGCTGGACGGCGCGGTACGGGTCGGCCCACCTGTTCACAGCACCAGGTGTGAAGAGACGCTGTTCACAGCTGGACGGCGCGGTACGGGTCGGCCCACCTGTTCACAGCACCAGGTGTGAAGAGACGCTGTTCACAGCTGGACGGCGCGGTACGGGTCGGCCCACCTGATCACAGCACCAGGTGTGAAGAGACGCTGTTCACAGCTGGACGGCGCGGTACGGGTCGGCCCACCTGCTGCCGCGCGAGGCCGAGGGCAGCGTCGGCAGCCGCCTTCGCCTCCTCGCGCCCGCGCGCCGCCTCGGCGATCTGCGCCTCGAGCGCCTGGATGTCGTGCTGTGCGCGGCCGTTCTCGCCGGTGAGCGCCGCGACGCGCTGCCGCTGCGCCTCGAGCGCCTTGTCCTTCTCGAGCACCGCCAGGTTGCAGAAATGCTCCTTCTCTTGCAGACGGACGAAGAGCTCCTCGGCCGAGCCGAGTTCGAGGAAGGAGCGGACGTCCTCGTTCTGCGAGAGGGCCGGGTCCAGCGTGATGCTGCGCAGGTAGCTGCTCAGCCCCGCCTTGCGCTTGTCCAGAAAGTCCTTGTCCGACGATGAGAGCCAGCCCGCCTTGCCCGGGAGGTCGGGCACGCCTTGGAAGGCGGCGCGCAGCGTCTTGTCGAGGACGTCGAACTGCCTGTAGCGCCGCTTGATGCGGTAGGCGTTGAAGCCGTCGTGCGCCGTCGAGACTTGGACCACCCACCACAGCCCGCCGCCGCCCGCCGCCGCTGCCTCATCGTCCTCGTCGTGGCCGACTACCTCGGCGGTGATGGTGGGCGCGCCGTGGCCGGTGGCGAGGACGACACCGGTGGCAGAGGCGCGGAACAGGGCGGACATGACAAGACTGCCGAAGAGAAAAAGAATTCAAAGCCCCTCACCGTGTACGACAAGGGCGCGGACTGGCGCGGACTGGCACACACACCGGCTCACCGAGAAAAGGAAGGGAAAAAACAATCAGAAAAAGGATCGTTGGCGGCACACTCTCCGTCCTCCAACTCCCTCGCAACACGGGGCAAAAGAAGAATTCGAGTTCGTAAGAACGAACCTTGAGCCAGAACGTCGGCTCGCGAGGTGGGTGCTAGTATGAGCCCGATCCGTCGCAGTGCTCTTGCAGAGGCGGTTAGTGGTGCACTAACCCCGAGAAACCCTTCGGGTCACTCCTCATCGCAAACCCTGTCAGCAGTCCTCCTCCGGGAATGTACGTAAGAGCCACATACATTGAAAACTTGTCACTTGGGGGGGGGGGGGGGCGGGGGGGGCTGGGCTCCAGCTGGCCGACGGGCACACCTTTCCTCGAGGACAGCAGCGACCGCGTTTCGATGTCGCCGATGTCGCCGCCCGTGCCCTACCCTCCTGCCGGCTTCGTCCAGCGGCGGCGGGAGGAGGAGGCACTGCGCCCGCAATTACCGCCGCAGAGCGTCTCGCCGTCGACGAATGCCAAAGCCAGCCTCAACGAGCCGCCCTCGACGAACGCCAAAGCCAGCCTCAACGAGCCGCCCTTGACGAACGCCAAAGCCATTCTAGGCCCGTGCTGCCCGTGCTTGCCTCTCATGTCCACCTGGGCCGACCAGATCGAGGCCGCTCGTGGGCAGCACAGCGACGTGGCAACTTTCGACGCTGCGTGCAGCTGGGTGCAGGACGTCGCCGCTCCGCAGCGGCTCCTGCCTGACGCCTGCCTCTTGCGGCTGTATGCTGCCTTCAAGCAGGCGACAGTTGGCCCGGCGCCGCCGCGCTCTGGCCAGTTGGACCCGAAAAAGCGCGCCAAGTGGCAGGCGTGGGACGCTGTGCGCAGCCTCGACAAAAGAGAGGCTCGCCACCTCTACTGCACGCTCGTCACACAGTTCTCAGCGGCCGCCGCGGCGGCGACGCCAACGCGAGGAGGTCAGCCTCCAACGCCAACGCCAAAGCCGACCAGCGCGCCGGCGGCCGCCACGGAGCTGCTGCCCGTGACTTCCCGCGTTCTCTCTTTTGGACCGAGCCGCAGCGGCGCAGTCGTGTACCGCGTCGCGTCGCGCTGGGCCGGCGGCGGCAGCGTGTCTACGCACCGGCGCTTCTCAGACTTCCGCACGCTGCACACGGCGCTGCGCAGCCCGCTCTCGCTCGGCGAGTTCCCGTGCGCTCGGGCGCCCTTTCAAACGAGCGCACTGGCGGCGCGCCGCGTCGGAGCGCTTTCTAGAAACCTTCTAGCAACCTTCGAGGGAACCTTCTCGGAGCCTTCTAGGCGCGCCGCGTCGGAGAGCTCTCGGCGTACATCTCCTCGCTTCTGAGCACGGCGTGTGACGCTCTCGCCGCGGCGGACGGGGCGGGCGCGGCGGGCGGAGGGGCACGCCTTGCCGCGGTCGTGCTTGTCGACTTTTTGGGCGGGCGGCCGGAGTCCCGCGCGCAGACTCCGACGCCGAGCAAGCCGACGGTCGGTTCGGCGGCGGCGGCGGCGGCGAGCAGCGGCGGGGACGAGCCCGCGGCGGTGGCGCCAAAGCCGCTGGGGGGCAGCGCCCTAAAGTGCGGCGGGGGCATGCTCGCAAGCCTGGCCGTCTGCATCGGCCCCGCAGCCCCCGCCTGAGCCGAAGGCGCGCGAGAGCCGGGTGCGCGGCGGTGAGGTCCGGTTGGAGGCGGGGCGGGGACGGCGCGGGCCTTCCGGATGCCCCAGCGCGGGACACGGTCAGGCTGCCTCGCTGCTTCCGTGTCGGCTCGCGCGGCATCTCTCAAATGTGACATGTTGGGGGGCATCTGTGAGCCCCCGCCGTGTGTTCAACCTGCTACCGCGTACCGGGTGTGTACAGTCCTCCGACCTCGTCGACACGTCAGCGTATTTTTCGATTTAAACAGCACATGTCATGCACGGTACTGGTGGTCCTCGCTCGTTGGCGCGCCGGTAGAGTGCCGGTGCAACTGGTTGCCTAAAGCGTAAAGAGGTGGTATAGAGAGTAGTCTAAGTTCTGAGCCTCGACGCCTAGCGGGTCTAAGTGTGCCTAGGCACGCTGGGTGCTTGCGCGGTCTAAGATCAGCGGGAGCCTCTTACATCGGCTAAGTCGGCCGTGGCACGGCCTGGGGCCAAGAAAGAGGCTCCCACCGTGATCGATATACAGTACGGCGCTCCGCCCAAATTTTCCTCGCCTGCGGCGGGCGCCTACTAAAATCCGGATCGATCCTTCTCATGCCTCAGCAATCGCCGCCTCAGCATCCTCCCCTTCCGATTCTCGTTGCTGCTTCTTGAGCGCAATCTCTAGCCAAACATTTCTCACAAATAGCCTCAAGCTCAAACAAACGCATGTCAGAGAAGCCTGTGTATGCTGGTCCTCTTTGAACGATCCGCGCGTGAAGGTAGGAAGCATAGGACCTTGTTGGCAGCAGCCAGCTTGTTGCGCTGCTTCGTTGCGATGAGCTGATTGGGATCGCAGAAGTGCATATCCATGCCAAGCACCGCCACGGTCTTGAAGCAGAACACAGCGCAACCGCATCGTCCGCACTGCCATCAGCATGCCGCGCCCGCCGCTTCGCCACAGCCGCCTTACGGCACGCATAGCGGCAGCACATGGTACGGTGCGCGTACTTGAGCAGGAGTTGCGCGCCGCAAGTAGCGCACTGGCCCTGGGAGAAGGCGATATGGCGTCGTGCGCGCGCGGCATACCTAGGTACGTTGGTCGGGACGCGTCCAGGTATTTTTCGGGTAAACCTGGACTTTTGCACTCCAAGTGCTCCAAGTTTTGAGTGTCAGGTATACCCGGGTTTTACCCGGAGTTGGCCTTATGTCGTCTAAGTTCATGGCCCCCGACCATACAGCGTCTAAGTCTGAGCCCAGCTCCGTGCGGGGGCTAACTAAGTTGAGCGCTCGCTCGCTGCAGAGGCTAAGTGTAGAGCAACCCTCTAGCCCTACTGCCCAACCATTCCGGTGCACCTCCAGGTCCCACCCCGCGCCGCGGGACCTGAGCCCGCGCGCCGCGGGAGCTTTCAGCTAAGTGGAATAGGTGATCTGTCGCGTGTCGGGCTGTCGGGCACTGGGTTAGGCACTGTCAGGTGCCTCTGTCAGACTAGCAGTCAGAGGCTCAGACGCTGTCGGAGCTGTCAGACGAGCTGTCAGGCGCTGCTGCTGCTGTCAGAGATAGGGCCGGTGCTGTCAGGTGCTGTCGGGTGGCGCTGTCGGGGTGCTGTCAGGCTCTGACACACACCAGCTGCCACAGTTAAATGGTTGGGCCTATAGTGGTCGGCGCAAATCAACCTTTTGCGCAAACGGTGGCCCAGTTGGTCGAGTTAACACTTATGAGTTAACACTTATGAGTTTATCAGATGACGCAGGCTACGCAGCGTAATGGAGTTTTCTTTTTTGCTCTAAGGCGCGGCTTGATTGCCCCGGCGGGCTTTGTTGTATTATCAGCATGATCAACACTCTCGAGCCGCAGCGCCGTGGTCGCGCGGCCGTTCTGGTGCTCGGCGTGGCCCTCGTCGGCGTGGTCGCCCTGGCGACGTCGCGTGCCGCCCGGTACGCCCTCTTCTCCGGTTTCGGAGCGTGGAATGCCGCCAGCCAGCACAGTTACCAAGAAGCTATGTGCGTACGGTGTCTCGCGCGGTGCTCCAACTCCAGCGAGCGCGAACGGATGGGGCCGCCCGGCTCGGCCGAGGCGACCACTGAAGGATGCGCCCGACACTGCACAAGCGCGTGTGTGGATCTCACGGAGGAGGAGACCATCGAACGCTTCAAGGCGGAGTACCCGAGCGCGTTTGTGCCATCGCCGCCGCCGCCGCCAATTGTCGGTGCCACATACCGCTGCCTGTGCCTTGCCGGCATCACCGCTGAGACGACGGCAGACGCCGTGAACAAGTGCGTCACCGCGTGCATTGACCCTTCAGCTGGCTCTGAGCAGCAGCCCATCCTGCCCCCGGACTACCCCACCTACAATGATGTTGCTGACCTCCCGAAGGGCTACACCGACCCCGCTTGGAAGGCCACGCGCGCCAATGGATGGAACTGGGACCCACGCACGGCGTGCCATTCCAAGTGCTCACGGCACGCCAGCCCGCACCGTTGCCCTACGCCCGATTCCATGTGCGGATGGGGCATCAGTGTCTGTGGCGAACGGCACTGCGGGCTACACGAGTGCACGTGCGCGTGCGAGGCTGCTAATCCCGACCCGGAGTATGACACGTGTGACAAGATCAAGGAGGACGCCAAGCGAAACAAGTTGGCCTTGGCGCACGGGCTGGGGCTGTTCTCAGGCGTGGCCGACGACGGTGGCCTGGGCGGGGCGATGCAGCAGCAGCAGATGCAGATGCAGATGCAACATCAGATGCACTAGCACTCGACATGGAACTTCACGGCGGCCGCTAAGGCCCTGATGAAGGGGTGCTGGCAGATGCGATCGATCTTGCCATGGCTGGCCGCAGCGGGAAACCTGCGGGTTTGAAGCATCATGATATAATCTTCTCTGTCCATGTACCATGCATCATGTGCATGCATGCGAGCCTGTGTGCGCTCGCCCCCTCAGTCTGTATGTGCGCATGTGATAGGTCTGCGACACGTCAAACCGCATGTGTGTATGTTATCCAGAGGTGAGGAGAACAGCCAGGCTGAGGCCTCGGACTGGAACACACCGGGGCGCGGGCGGTATGGGTCTTTTGGGAGTTTGGGTGGACGCGAGACAGGAGATGACGGCCCACGGCCACACTGCGTGGATGGAGCGACACACCGACACTCACAACCGACCCGCAGACCCCCTGGACCGCTTGGAGCGCTGAGCGCGCAGAGGTCGAGCGGTAGTAGCATCGATGCCGCCGTGTGAACCCATCCCCAGGGCCTCCAGGGCTCGCACCTCAACCTCTCACAGACCAGCGCATAGCGCCATAGGACGTATTTTCTTGTCACTAACAAGGCTGTGAAGCACCTAATTTTCTTTTTTCGGCAGGGACTCGCCAGCCTTGTGACATGCGCCTCTCCTCGCACTTCTTTCCCAAGTTTGACAATCAGTCCGAGGGCGTCCGTCTCTCGTCCGCGCCGGCTGCGGCGGGCGCGCGCTGCCTCGCCGTCTCGAAGAAGCACTCGGGCCACCTAGTGATGGCACCGCCCTTCTACAGCAAGAACGGGACCGCCAACAAGTACTCGCGGCTCGGCGAGCGGCTGCTGCGCGAGCACTTCTCGGCGGTGTGGCCGGGCGACGCCGGCGCCTTTGGCCGCTGGTGGGAGCATGCCGCGCGCTTCTCGCTCTGCTACTCGTTCGAGTGCGTGGCGCCTCGGGTGTGCGGCGACCACGGTGCGACGCCGCACGCCGCGTACATGGTGCTCACGTGCGTCGCGCACGCGGGCGGCGAAGGCTTCCTCTCACCCGCCCAGCTGCTCGAGCTGGGCGCCGCGTGGCGTCTCCCGCTCAACGAGGTTTGGTACGTGCCGTGGGAGCGGGCGGCGGCGGTGGAGGACCGGCTGCACGCGGCGCGATGGAGTATGGCTGACGAGGACGCGGACGCGGCGCTCGAGGGCTGCGGCGCGGTCCAGCGCTTCCTCTCGCACGGCGAGACGCAGGGGCAGGTCCTCGAGGGGTTCGTGCTACTCGCTCTGGACCAGGCGCTCGAGGCGCTCGCGCCGCATCTCGCGGCGTACGAGGACGCCGTCGCGCCGCACCGAGCTGCGGCCCTCGCGCGCGCGCTCGACCTCGGCGCCGCGTGCCTGGTACCACACCTCCAGAGCATCGAAGCCAGTGTGGGCTCAGGTCCCGTGGGTGGTGTGGTAGGCGCCGCGTGCCTGCGGGGCGACGCAACCCTGCTGCAGGCGCTCGAGGGTGCCAGCCCTGGTCCCATCCCTCCAGAGTACCGAATCCAGTGTGGGTGGTGTGGCAGGCGCTCGAGGTTGCCGGGCCGCGCGAGCCAGCACGCTCCGAGATGGGGCGCGACGAGGCGTGGGGCGCCGCTTGTGCGGGGGAGGGGCCGCTGCCGACCCTCTTCAGGGCGCTGCGCGGCGCGCACACAGACATGGGGGAGATATGGGGAAGATATGGGGAGATATGGGGGAGATGCGTGCTGCGGCTCGTACGCCCTAGAAGCGGAGGACGCATTCTTGTCTTCCAACTAGCGCTCGAGAGGAGGCGCACTCTGCTGTATTAGACGCGCACTTCACTGCTTTCGTAGCCCTCGCACTCACGCGCTGCTCCGAGTACTCTGCACAACACCACCGCCTCCCCGCCCCCGAGGTGTGTGTAGTCAGTACGGAAGGCTCGGACGGCCGCCGCCTCTCCTACCACACCACCCCCGGGACCGGACCCACACTGGATTCGATACCAGGAAGGTATGGTACCAGGCGCGTACGGCCACCGCGTCTCGCTCAAGAGCTACCACTACGAGGGCGCGCTCCAGCTGCAGGTGGACGTGGGCGACGACAGGGTCTTCTTTGGCTGGCCGCTGCACGCCGCGCTCCGCGGCGCCGCGCCGCTCTACCGAGGGATGGTCGTGCAGTTCGACGACCGCTCGCCCCCGCCGCTCGCCCGCGCGCTCGCGGAGGCGCCCGCCTCCGCCGCATGCGCTTCCGCCTCCTCCTCCGCCTCCGCCTCCGCCGCCTCCTCCTCCGCCTCCGCCGCCTCCGCCTCCGCCGCCTCCGCCTCCGCCGCCTCCGCCTCCTCCGCCGTGCCGGAGCCGATTTCACATGCGGCGGGCGCGGCGGGCGCGGCGGGCGCGGCGGGCGCTGCGCCGGTGCGTGTGCTCGCCATCGCAAAGCTAAAGTGCCTGCGGTACCTCGTGCGCACGTTTGGGGTGCGCAACTTGCTCAGCGTGCTGCTGGAGCACGGCCCGTCGGCTCGTCTAGCTAGATGCGGGACACAGACGCGGGACAGGAGATACCGAACTCGATGCGCCGAGCGGAGCACTGTCTCTAGAGCACACCTCGAGCACACCTCGAGCACACCTAGAGCACACTGTCTCTAGAGCACGCCTTGCTCCGCTCGTTCACCGCCGGGGTGGGCGCCTGGCGGCGCCGCAGCGGTGGTCCACACCCTGGCCCCGCTGCCTTCATCCCCCCCCCCCACCACCACCACCAACGGGACTGAACCCACACTGGATTCCGTTCCTTTTGAGGTATGGTGCACGCAGGCTCGAGGGGGCCCTTCCCAGCTACCACACCACCAACGGGACTGAACCCACACTGGGTTCTGTACTCTGGAGGTAGGGTACCACCTCCGTAGGCCTACCTCGCACGCGCCGCCAAGTTTTGCGCCAACTGGGGTGTGCCAGAGGCGCACCGGCCGGCAACGCTCTCCGCGCTCTCCAGCTGGGCACGCGAGGTCGGGCTGCTCCCCCATATCTCCCCATATCTCTCCCATATCTCCCCCATATCTCCCCCATATCTCCTGCGAGGTCGGGCTGCTCTCGGCGCTGGAGCGCGCCGAGCTGACGGGCCGCGGCGGCAGCTACCTCCGCTTCCTCGAGCCGTGCCTCGAAGGGCGCGGCCGGCAGCACGCGGCGTCCAGTCCGGCCGACGCTGGCCGGTCCGAGAAGCTGCGCGGCTAGGAACCTTCTAGGAACCATCCAGGAACCTTCTAGGAACCTTCTAGGTCCGAGAAGTTACGCGGCTACGCGATGCTCCTTGTGAATCTGACCGGCGCGCCGCTACCTCCCGAGGACCTGGCCGCGTACGGGCGCGGGCTTCTGCCGCTCGCGCGCCGCGGCGGCGGCGGCGGCGGCGGGAAGCTGCAGCCAGGGACCGTTGCGACCACGGACTTCCCTCCGGGCGGCCGTCTGCTGAACACGGGCGTGCCTACGCTGGTGCTGGTGCTGCCGCCCCGCGACGGCGCCGACAGCCGCTGGAGGAAGATGTACGAGCGGTGCGCCGGGCTCGAGAGCGTGGGGGCGGGCCTGAAGGGGCGCGTCTTTCGTGGCTTGAGCCCTGCGCAGTGGGACGAGGCGGGCAGGGAGCTGCCCCGAACTTTCTGGGAGCCTTCCAGGAGCCTTCTAGGAACCTTCTAGGCGGTCAAGGGGCTGCCACCCTCGCCTCTTGCGGCGGCGGCCACCGCCGCCGCCGCCGAGAGCGACGGGGTCGGGGCCGCCGTTGCCGGTGCGGTGGGTGGCGGACCCGCGGGCGCGCGTCGGCTGGAGAACGAGCGGACGGTCGTGGCGGTGGCAGCATTGCCACCGGGCGGCGGCAAGAGCACCCTCTTCCGCCGGCTGCAGGAGGCCGGGTGGCAGGTCGCCTCGTGCTCGGCGAGATCTCGGCGAGATCTCGGCGAGATCTCGGCTATCGCTCGGCTCTCCCTCGGCTAGGCTATCCCTCGGCTACCCCTCGGCTACCCCTCGGCTACCCCTCGGCTACCCCTCGGCAGGTCGCCTCCTCCGACGAGGAGCGGGCGCGCGGCGGCTCGTTCGACGAGACTCTCTCGCGGGCGCTGCGCAGTGCGCCCGCCGTCTGCTACGACAAGAACCTGCCGGACGCCAACGGCCTCTCCAAGCTCTGCCGCGTACTGCGCGCTGCCGAGACGCGGCACGGCGTGCGCGTGCGCGTGCTGCTCGTGGCGCCCCGCTCGCTGCGCCATGACGTGATGTGGGCTCGCGTGGGCGCCCGAGCGGCGACGGACCACGCGCTCACGCAGCACATTGAGGGCGGCGCGGCGAAGGCGTACGAGATCTTCAACGCGGTCTTCTTCGAGCCGTCGCGAAAGGCGCTCAGCAGCGTGCACCGCTTGCCCGGCGTCCTCGTCAGCGACGCCTTCTGGGCCGAAGGGGCGGAGGGGCCAAAGGAGCTAGCGGAGGAGCTCGTGCGGCGCGCCACCGCAGGCGACGCGCCGACGCTAGCTGAGTTCGCGGCCGCCGTCGCGGGAGGCGGCGGCGGCGGCGGCGGCGGCGGCGGCGCCTCCGCCGCCGCGCCGACGGCAAGCTACATGATGGCGGAGTTGCCGGGCACGCAGATGCACGTGACTCTGGTGCCGCCGCGGGGGAGCGCGACGTCCGCCGCGGAGGCCGCCGCCCTCTTCGCAGCGATGAGGGCGCTCCAGCCGCTCGCCGGCTCGCCGGTGCGCGTCGTGCTGCCCCTTCTAGGATCCTTCTTCTCGGAGCCGTCTAGAGGAACGTTCTAGGAACCGTCTAGGTGCGCGTCGTGCTGCCGCGGTACGTGCTGGGCACGTGGCGGGGCGAGACGCGCAAGATTGGCTTTTGGGAGGCCGGCATCCGAGGGCTGCCCGATTCGCTGCACTACACGCCGCAGGCGGCCTTGTACCACGTCACCGATTCGGCCGCGCTCATCGGATGCGCGCCGCGGGACGTGTCCGACTTCCTCGCGCGCATACGCGCCGGCTCGCTCGACCCCGAGTGGCAGGTGCAGATTTTCGAGGCGTCAGCCCCGCCACCGGAGATGGCGGCGGTGGTGAGGGAGGTTTGAGTACAGCGCATTGCCCCTTGTCCGTCTGGGTGCTCTCGGATGTGCGCTCTACTTGGTTCCTTACTTGGTACCATGGCGGTGCACTACCAGACCAGCCCCTTGGAGTGAAGGCTTCGTACATCGTGCCCCGGTCTACTATGAAGATCCGCAGGACTGGAGCGAAAAAAAGCAAGCGTCACGAAGCGAGTGCTACCAGACCACCCACACGAAGACACACACCGACCACCGTCCACCGAGCATTCGGCTCTGAGGGCGGAGGTAGAGGTAGGGCTGGCGTGGCCGTGGGGGGCCTCAGGCTGGGCTCAGGTAAAGGTAAAAACCTGTCTCAAGTGTCAAGACCGCCGGAGGTACCTGCTAGAGGTAAACGGAAAAACCACGTGAGGGCAGGTATAAACGTACGCCCGTGAACGTAACCCGCCGAGGGCTCTGTCCTCGAGGTGGGACGACCAAGGCCCCGCGAGAGCGCTTCGCCTGCGGCGCGCCTGCCCGGCCATGGACCAGGCTTCACCGCCGCTTGCCGACGGCTGATCGCATCGCCTACCGCATCGCGAATGACCAGTGCCGCGACCACTTGACCTTGCTGCCTGCCTGCTGACCCGGTGCAAAGAATCTGTGCGTCTCTCGGCGCATTGATTGTGCATGATTGCTCGAGTGGCTCGAATTGGCAATCCACCGCAATGCGAACATCACTGGAGAGCATACGCAACACGGACGCAGGCTTGCCGTTGGCGGCGTCGGTTATCAGAGGGGTCAGGTCATAGTGACGCGCTCGATGGGTTGCTGCTGCATTGTCCATTGACGCACACAGCAAAAGCATCGCAGCGGAGACCTTCTCATGAGTGGCGGCTCGCACCATGAGGCAGTGCGGACACCAGGTGCGCGAGGGAGACGCGCGCCGGCCCGGGTGACTCGCTTGCGAGGTAGATCCCGTTCCAGCCAGAGGCCGCGTGACCACCACGGGGACGGCTGGGGAGGAGAGGTCATCCGGATGTGGGCGGGACGCCCCCGGGCACCTGGTTGCTCTCCTCTTCCAGAGTCCCTCCCGACGGGGACCGGTCTTAGGCCATTCCAACGGCCAGACCGCTCGCTTAAGGCTGATTGGCTAGACGAGCGGTCTACCTCCAACGGGGCGGTCCGGGAACGCGTGGAACCTGCCCACCTCGGTGGGAGGTGGTTTGGCGCCGACGGACCGCCCTCTCCATCACCCTTTCGCCCAGGGATCTACAATGCTGTCTCAAGGTCCGACAGGTTCGGCACCGGGCACCGCCTCGGTATACAAAATGCGCCTGCGGGCGGACCCTCACAGATCACAGATCACACCAGGTGCGCGAATTTAAGAGCCATTTTCGGCCACCAAAGCGAGATCACCCGAGATCACAGCTGAGTCTGCCTCTGGCCTCGCCTCCCTCTCCCTAAAAGTACGTACACTTTCACAGAATGGAGGCAAACCTCAGCGGGAGAGGTGTTTCGACACCACCGAGAGTGTTTTGTACTTTTGAACCGCAGTGCGCGTTTCTCGATGTGATCTGTGATCTGTACGGGTCCGCCGTTTCTCGATGTCGATCATCAATACACAAGTAGTACAAGTGGACACTCGCTTGCTTTTTTTCGCTCCAGTCCTGCGGATCTTCACACTCCAAGGGGCTGACAAGTGGAACTGCAACTGCGAACTGGAGAAAAAGAAGGCGGCGCGGCCGCGGGGGTGCCGGGGGGCTTTACATTTCATTAGTTCGTTCCGAGCGCTCGGCTCACGGTTGCAAACGATCTCTTTAAAAGCATGAGGGGTGGGGGCGGTGGATCGGCTTTCGGAACCTTACATACTCTAACCCTCCGCACAAGCCTCGAACGCACATGTCACGATCAGCCGATGAGATGCTGCAGCCGCTCGACTTCTGCCGCGCTCAGCGCAGGCAACGCGAGGTCCTGCGCCATGTGGTTCGGATCCGTCGTGCCGCTCAGCGGGGTGATACCGAGCGCCTGCACAAAGCTCAGCCACACCTGCTCGGCCGACGCGCCGTGCGCCTTCGCCACCTCGCGCACGGCGCGCCCCTGCAAGATGCGCCGGTTGCCCGTCAGGGCCCAGAAGGCCTGGTACCGCACGCCGTGCCGCTCGCAGACGGCGCGCACGGCGACGTCGTGCCGGCCGTGCTCCTGCCGCCAGGAGGAGGAGGGGGGAGGAGGGGGGGGGGGGCGGGGGCGGGGGCGTGGCACAGCTGAACTGGACGCGACACATCCAACCGCGGCAGTCCGAGTGACTAAGAGCTCGCGCCGAGAGGCGGGTGTCGCGCTAGCCTTCCGTGGGACTCGGCGTTGCCTGTCTGACTAGTCGATCTCTGTCTGACCGTCCGTTCTCGACTGCCCGTGCATGCGAACTGGGCCCGGAGTTGTGTTTCTGCGGTGAGAGGCGCGCGCCTCCACGAACCGGTTCTGCACGACGGACGGCTTGACGGAGGCCTACGCTCACCAGCCCCGGCCGGCAGGTTACATCTCCCCATATCTCCCCAAATCTCCCCAAATCTCCCCATACCTTAAGGCCTCAGCCAGCCCGGCCGCCAGGTTCGATCTCCCCCTGATCTCCCCTATCTCCCCTATCTCCGCCTATCTCGAGGCCTCCTCGCAGAGCCGTTCCAGCTCCCATATCTCCCCCTATCTCCGCCTATCTCGAGGCCTCCTCGCAGAGCCGCTCCAGGGCGGCCGCGTCGTACTGGTTCGAGAGACCGAGAGCCCGCGCCTCGCCCGCCGCCACGTGCGCCTCCATCTGCCGCCAGGCGCGCAGTGTCTGCTCGTGCGACGGCAGCGGCGAGTGGAGCAGGAGGCAGTCGAGGTAGTCGGTTCGCAGGTTGCGCAGCGACGCGGCGACCGACTGCTTCACCTGTCGCGACGACGAGGTTCTCAGCATAACTCTCTCATGACATGCGTCTCTACACACAAACGCTCTCTCGCTCATCTCTGTCTCTGCCTCTGTCTCAGTCTCTGGCTGTCTCTCTCTCTCTCTCCCTCTTCATCCTTCCCTCTCCCTCCCTCCATCCCTCTCTGCAGAGTCGTGGGTCGTTTATACCTGCTCCTCCACCTCTGCTGCAGCATCGTACGGCAGACGATCGGGATCCTGGCCCGCCAGTGGCGTGTACTTGGTCTGCACGTACAGATCAGCTCGCCGCAGGCCGGAGGTCTCTAGCGCTGCACCAACGGCCGCCTCATCATAGTGCTTGGGCTGACACGCCGTGTCGATGCCACGAAAGCCGGCACGAAGGGCTGCCAGGACCAGCTCGTACGTTCGCTCTCGCTTCCAGGCGGTGCCGTAAAGGATGGTTGGCGGAGAAGCGGTGGTTGATGCGGACGTGGATGCGGCGGCTGCTGTGGCGGCTGAGACCGCGGCGGCGGCGGCAGCGACAGGACGTGGGACCAGCCGACGCACCCTCATCATTCTGCTTTTGCCGGGCCGAAGCAGAAGAATTTTAGCGCCAATTACGGGAACACGCTTAGAACGAGGCAGACGAGAGCGACGCGACAGAGGATGAAGCGACAGGAGAGAGAACGACGAGGGTGGGACGACCGCGAGGTGGCATGAAGGTTGCAGCGAGAATCGGCGAGGGACTGCGAAGAGAGATAGGAAGAAGCGGACGCCCAAGGGTTAGGGTGGGCGACGGCTAGCACCACACTCCTCTCCTTAAAATCCCTGTGTGGTGGCGGCGTGCCGTCCTCCCATCCCTCCCTTGGGCTGTCTGTTTTCTTTCCTTCTTCTTTTCGGGAGCGTGTGTGTCATGTGAGAGAGGCTGCTGTCTTTTCATATTACGCCAGCCTCCGCTCCAACCTGGCTCTCATCTCCCGCTCTCAACGCCTCAGCCACGTCGCAGCGGAGGCAGTGGAGATGGCAGCGGAGGCGGTAGCGGAGGGAGGCAATCAACAGGGTGAGGGTTGTCCCCGCGTCTTTGAGAATCGTTGAAATCGTACTGTAAGAAGAGGTGTGACCTTCGCTGATAATGGATAACGCGCGGCGGAGGGGGCGCGGCAAGAAACCGGGCGGCAGGCTATGAGACAACTGTATATGTAACGGCTTTCGCGTCTTGTGGAGCCTCGCAGCGATCCAGGGCTGCACGCCCGGCGCGCGCTCGACCCCCATCTCTGTGCTCATGGGCCCTTGAAGATCTCCGACACTTTGGCTGGATCCACCTATTGGGGGACGCGAACGAGCGAGGTAGGTCGTATGTGAGGAGCCCATCTCGCACGGGCCACGGCGCGTGCAAGGGCGCCTTGAGGCTGTCGTGCAACTGCTTGTGGAAGCTGTCGCCCTTGCCGTTCCACCACTCGACGAACTCGGGCTCCGTGATGCGGCCCGACTTCGTGCTGTCCATCAGCTCGAAGGACGCGGTCAGCTCCTAATGTTTAAGTGCAGATAGACGTCGGGGCGTGATCAGCATCATTGCGCCTCATCCGGCGCCTAATGCTAGTTGCCAGATGGATGCGTCTGCACAATCTAACCGACGGTTCCTTGGAGTTCGCGAAGGGGAAGCCGAGCCGAGAGGCGGCCTGACCGACCTCGCGCATGTCGAGGTAGCCGGAGCCGTCGGCGTCAAGCTCCTTGAAAAGCGCAGAGAGGTCCTCGAAGGTAGCCTGTTTCTCACGACCGTGCTATCAAGAGACGCCGCGCACAGCTACACCGAGAGCGCCTGAAGACAAGGTGGCCGAGCGGAGCTTGGCACCCGACTTGTCGGGGACCGGCCCGCCAAACTCATTCATGTACGCGGTGGCCTATTCACAGCCGGCCGTGAAGAGGTGCTATTCGAGGCTGTACGGCGAACTCGCGTGGGCGCGGACGCCTCAGTGATCTGACGCTTCTTCTCTCTCGAGGACCAGCCTACGGCAGCCGTGCCACGCAAGCCAGTGTGCCTCGCGCCTCCTTGATGCGTGCCGTGAGGATTCACCCGCTCTTCACTCTCGGCTGGATCTCGGCTAAGAGCTGGCCGAGCTTCTCGGCCATGATGTCGGCCACGCGTGGCACAGCCTCCTTGGCCGCCTCCGAGTTGATGTACGCGAGCCGCATCCGCAGCGAGAGCATGTCCTTGACGCTACGGCAGTACTCGCCACAGCAGTACTCCACCTCCTCCTCGATGAAGGGGTAGCCTGCAGCAAACACACCACACGATATCTGGAGACCGGCGCAAGGGCGGAAAATAGAGTGGGGGCTGGGTGTGCGGGATGCTTCTCCCGCATCTGGGAACAGTTGGTTGCCTTCGACGAGGAGCCGCCCGTACCGCGGCCAGAGCTTCTCCGTAGGCTTGGAGAGGGTGCACACATCCATCGCGCGCCTGCAAGCCACGCCACGGAAATGTCGTGGACGTGTTGCGTCGTCTCGGAGAGGGGCAAGACACGTCGAGTGCGCGCCAGCCGTAGGCGCGGACGAGGTGCTCGGCCACGTCCTAAATGGATGTGGGACGCCTCATTGAGAGCGGCGTGGTGGGAACGAGTCGCCACCCCGCAGCTGGCCGAGCTCAGCCCAAACGTCTGGATGAGCTTGATGGTGAGGAGGTCCTACATGGCGAGATGAGCCGGGGCATAACAGCCGAGGTGTCGGTCGAGGGAATGTGCACTCGACGGTGCAGAGGCTCCTTGGTCTTCGAGCGCAGCCCACGGTAGCCCGGTTTGAAGTTCTCCGAGCCTACATGGTGACAGCGGGGTACCCCAAAAGACGAAAAGGCAGACTACGGCGTGTCGCAACGGTAGCAAGAATCGTGACTAGATCTCGGCTAGATCTCGGCTAATCCTGCAAACCGATGAGCGGGAGGTGGCGCGTGACGCACGGACCGACGTCTTTGAAGCCCTTCTCCTTGATGACGCGGTTGACGGTGTCCTCTGCCATCTCGCGGTAGGTGGTCCACTTGCCGCCCGTGATGAAGCAGATCCCTGTGTGATGAAGACAGAGGGAACAGGGTCGTGAAAACGGTACCAGACAGCGCCCGCAGCCTCGATGCGACCAAATCATCGGGAGCATCAACTCAGAGAGTGGAGCCGTTAGGGAGGGGAGAGGGAGCGAAGATCCGGGCGTCCGAGTGGCGATTGCCGAAGGAATGCTGGTGCATTGACACGGGACGTATCGACACGGAACGGCGGGTGCATTTCGAGTGATCTCGTGGGTATCGCGGGCGATCTCCGGGAATCTCGGGGTGATCACCGCATCGTTGTGCTGCCCCTCGTGCAGCACCGCGCAATACTTGAGGTCGTCGGCCTGCGTGAGCGCGAGGCAGAGAGCCGCGGGTGAGTCAGGCATGCGATACGACGGCGGGTGCAGCCTCGACGCGGCCGTTGTAGCTGAGAACACGCCGTGCTGGGGTCGTGACTCCAGGAGACGGCGAACTCAAGCAACATGCCCGCCGCCGAGTGAATGGGTTACTGTGAAATTCACCATTCAGCATCTAGCGTCGCTGGCCAGCTGAGGGAAGGTCTCCCGTGCCATCTTGGGGCCGAGAACGTACGACGGTGGGCAATGGAAGAAGGAGAGCGAGTCGTAAAACTTGGTGAAGAGCGGCGCGATCAGCGGCAAGATCATGAAGAGCGGGTGGTCGAGCACGGGCTCCCACATGATCCTGCGCAGTGGAGGGCAGAGACAGAGGGCCGTGAAGACGGAGCGGCTACGTCTTGGACGTGGGCGCGTAGTCGGTCGCATTGGCAGGCGCAGGGCCAGGCAGAGGAATAGCGTGTCCACTCACACGTGGCGAGGAGGGTATGAACGGAGCATCTAGGTGCCGGATGCCACTCGCGGATTGGGATGGCGAGCGGGATCCAGTTGACAAGGTGGGGGTGGGTCTCCATCATAAAGGTGCGCTCCTGGTGGCAGTTGTAGACCATCTTCATCTCCGAGTAGAAGGCCTTCACCGCGCCGATAGGGTCGGACAGCGTGCCCCAGGAGAAGAGGGAGGCCGCCGCCGTAGCAATGTACTTGCTCCCGCCCCAAAGCAGCTTGGACGATCTACTCGAGGTCTCGCACGCAAAGTCGCCTGGCGAGGCGCACGGTGCGGGACGGAGGTGGCGTGGGGAGGACTGCGGCGCCGGTGGCGACGGTGCGAGTCTCGTGCGGTAGCGGTGGCGGGCCCAATCTGTCGCAAATATATCGCGACCCTTGTCCACGCAGGCAGTCTTGAGTCCGCGCGTGGCGGCGTCGAGCGTGACGCCGCAACCAGTGGCACCAGCACCGATGACTAGAACATCGAACGGCTTGCCTGACTTGAGCGCCTCGATCTGGTGCTCTCGCTCAGGGACACCGCGGGGTGACCAAGCGATGCCGCGCCACTTGACGTCGTCAGTGACAGAGCTGCGACGGACCACGGGCCCGTCGCCACTGCTCTCGGCCGCTGCTGGCCGGCTGAGGTCCCATGCGACCTTGGCCGCGACGCACGCCGCCGCCGGGGCGGCCACCCGTCGGGCTCGACGCATGTGTTTATGTGCTCCGCGACGTCGAGCGCGCGAATGGACGTCCGTCAGGTATCCGACGGGTATCTTCACGGCCCTGTCACAATCGTATCCCGTTTTTCAGTGTACGTACTTTTAGTTTACTGGGAGAAAAGAGAGAGGGGGTTGTGTTCTCTAGGCGTGTATGTAGCTCTAACGTACGTACCCGAAGGTGAACTGCTGACAGGGTTTGCGATGAGGAGCGATCCGAACGTGGTATTCGGTTTTTCTCATCGAGAAAAGAATAATCTAAACTGTTTGTCACATTGATGGGGAAGAAAATACCTTTCCTGAATTTTACAACCATAGGAATAGACTTATACAATTGTAGCGCCTGCTTTCGGCCGCGGTAGGCGGGCACATCCACGTTTTCGTCCGGCTATCGCAATGAATATGCGCCACCAGGAGCGGACGCGTCAGTTCGAGAAGCAGACATTCGACGTGACCTCCCAGTGCGAGAGGTACTGCCGCTGCATCTGCTGCCCGTGCGTCGGCCTCTCCACTACAAAGCTCGAACTCGGCCCAGACGAGGCGGTCCTCACCAAGCACGACTGCTGCAACCACATTGTGCAGAAGCGCCCGTATGCACAGCTGGGCTCGGTGAACTCGCACCACGAGTGCGGCATCTGCTGGAGCGTCGGTTCGGATCTCACCGGCCGCGACGGCAGGCTGATGCCTGGCTGGGGCTGCAACGCGCCGCTGGTGCGCGAGATAGTTGAGGAGCTGCAGGAGCGCAAGCTTGGACGCGGCAACGTTGCGCAGATGAGGTCACACGAGGACCTGGCCGCGTCTGTTGCCCACGCCCACGCCAAACTCGACACAATCCTCTCTCATCTGGGCCTTGAGCCTCCAGCGCCGCGGCCAGCAGAGGCGCTTGCAGTCGCACCGCTGCCAGCTGCGGAGGAGATGATCCGCATGTAGCCGCATTCAACCAACAGACTGCCTTACCGGTTCTGGCCCTCAACGGGCTCTGCCCCCGCTCTTGCTGGCGACACAGCGCGCGCCCTGCGCGCGCTCCAGAGCTCCCCACCTCTCCACGTCTCCAGCCTGCACACGCTCCGCGACTCACTCAGGCCAAGAGTGGTGACTGTGAGGTGTCCACGTAAAAATACGGGGGCGGAGGGTATAAGCAGAGCGACAGCCGATACAGAGACACGTACTCGAGGCGACAAAAGCGCCAGTCTTCCGTTCCTCCCACCCCGATCGCGCACAGACCACAGTGTTGTGCGAAGGAGTTTGGTTGGAAAATTCTTTGGCTTCTGCAGAAGCCGTCGCCTCGCGTGAATGGTGTACAAGCGGCTCGGAATCTCGTTCCGTAAATTCTTTCGTCGCGCTGCGCGCCTCCGTTTGGGCCTCCGCTGTGCCGACTGTGCCGTACGACGACAGGCACTGCCTCATCCGTGTTGCGTACACACATGTGTATATGACGCTCCTCACCCGCGGCGCCGGCGCGGCGCGCTACAGCGCACACGTCCCGACAACGCTGCTCGAGAAGGCGCTCATCGGCTCAAGCTCCGCCGTGCGCGCCCTCGCCGACCCGCGGCAGGCGCGTCTCGTCGGCGTCGTGGGTGAGACGACGGGCGGCGCGGCGCTGCACCGGCTGCACCGGCGAATGGAGCGCCACCCGGTCGGACGCACCGTACTGCAGGACCGGCCGCTGATCACGTCCGAGACGCTGCACGCGGAGACGCTGCGCGCCATGCCGGCCGGAAGCTTCGGCGCCGAGTACGGCGCTTTCCTCGCGCGACACTCGTTTGACCCGGACGAGCGGACGGCGGTGCACTTTGTTGACGACCCAGAGCTGGCGTACGTTATGACGCGGTACCGACAGGTGTATACTACACCAATGTGCCTCCCCGTGCCCGTAGCCCTTGCGTGTGTGAGCCGCGCCCTGTGCCCCCGAGTTCATTTGCCTCTCCGGCAGGTGCACGACTTGTGGCACGTCCTCTACGGGCTGCCACCCACCTTTGCGGGCGAGGTATGGGGAGATACGGGGAGATACGGGGAGATCAAGGTGCCTTCCCACCTTTGCGGGCGAGGCGCCGGCTCCCGACCCTTCCTGTGCGGGAGCTGGTTTGTCGGGAGGGAGGGGCAGGCTGCTCGCCCACGTGCACCGGGCCCAGTGCTTGGCACTTCGAATGCCGTGGGGCTCCTGCCCGTGTCCGGGTGTGGAGATGCGAGGGAGCAGCCTGGCCCTTGCCCCACCACCTCTGTGTGGTGTGTGCCGAAGTCCACCTCCCCTTGTGTTACACCTTGCCTTCCCCCTCCAGCAGAGACGCGTGCCAGGCGCTTCCGGCGACGCCCCCCCGCCTCTGACGCCCGACACGCGTGCCGCCTAAGGTCGCTCTCAAGTGGCTCGAGGCGGCGCAGACGGTGCCGCTTGCCTAGAAGCGTCCTGGAAGCGTGCTGGAAGCGTGCTGGAAGCGTCCTGCGTCCTAGAGAAGCGTGCTGGAAGCGTCCTGGCGAGCGGCGGCCTCCCGCGGAGTCTCCAGAGAGGCGAGAGTTGTCGACATCAGCGCGCTGAGGCACCCGCGACCAGCCACTCGCTCGCAGCAGCGCGCGTCGTCTCGCCACATCTCGCCACATCTCGCCATATCTCGCCATATCTCGCGGCGAGCATCCCCTCGGTCGGCGCGGCGCTGCTCCTCACCCCCCCCCCCTTCCCTTCCCTTTCCCCCCCCCCTCCCTAGGGGCTGCCGATGTGCGCCGCCGGCGCCCTTGCGGGCGGCGTGCGCCTGACGGCGGCGCAGCGGCGGGCGGTCGTGCGATCTGTGCTCCCGTGGGCGGCGCGGCACGCGCTGCGTGGGCCAGCACGACCCGCACCACCCACGGGACTGAACCCACATTGGGTTTGATCCTCTGGGGGTATGGTACTAGGCCCGACCTGATGAGCGTGTACTACGAGCGAGAGATGGGCCGCCCGATCGACGAGCTGCGGGCGGAGCTGCGCGTCGAGCTCCTGCCGCGCACGATCAAATGAGTCGAGTCACTCCTCGCTGCTAAAGGCCTAAGACTGTGTGTGTCCTGTGTGTCTGTCCTGGGTGTGTCCTGTGGAGCTTGCGTGTGTGTGGTCTCTGCGCCGGGAGCTTTGGCGGGGCGCAGAGCCAGAGGGAGAGCGAGAGGCCGTCGCGTGCGCAACTGCCGAACTGGCAATTGTCTTTCTCGAGACACGTAACCCGTTCTGCCCGACAACATACGTACGGCTCTACGTTGTACGTATGGGGCACGCACAGCCTCGCTGCGAGAACCGAGAAACAAACGGCGCGCGAGCGAGCGCGACAAACACCGACATAGGCGACGTCCGACGAGGACACGCAAATGTCCAAGCGACGGTGCGCGCTCGCGCGACGAGGCGCGAGAGTGCGCACCCACAATGTGTGGGTCGTGGAGCCGCAGCCTCCGTCACTGGTCGAGCCCGAGCTCCTTGAGCCGCTCCTGCTCGTCGAGGGCGATTAATTAACATCTAATGATTGATTAGTATTTATCTCATTAATCAGTGCTCCTGCTCGTCGAGGGCGATGCACTGCTGGATGATGGGCTCGATCTGGCCGGTGAGCACGCCTGATATTGACATTATGATCACGGGCGAGCATCTTTTTTCTTTTTTTTCGATCTGGCCGTTGAGCACGCCGTCGAGCGCAAAGTTGGATCCGAGCCGGTGGTCGGTGCATCGCGAGTCCTGGGGTTGGGGTGTGGGATGATAAGGCACGGTGGCCTTCTCCACACGCACACGCGCGGTGGTCGGTGTGCAGCGCGGGTCCTTGTAGTTGTATGTTCGGATCTTCTCGGAGCGAGAGCCCGTGCCGACCTGACATGTATGGTATGCTTATGATAGGATTGGAATGGTATTGCGAGAGCCGGTGCCGACCTGACATGTATGGTATGCTTATGATAGGATTGGAATGGTATTGCGAGAGCCCGTGCCGACCTGACATGTATGGTATGCTTATGATAGGATTGGAATGGTATTGCGAGAGCCCGTGCCGACCTGACATGTATGGTATGCTTATGATAGGATTGGAATGGTATTGCGAGAGCCCGTGCCGACCTGCATCTTGCGCTGCGAGGCGACAGCGGCCTGCTGCTCCTCCACCTGCATCTGGTACAGCTTTGCGCGCAGCATCTGCAGCGCCAGCTCCTTGTTTTTGAGCTGCGACCGCTCCTGTTCACGGCTGGAGGTGTGAAGAGACGCTGTTCACAGCTCCTTGTTTTTGAGCTGCGACCGCTCCTGCGTCACGCAGGCAGAGAGGAGGATACCCCGAGAGGAGCCCGAGAGGGCAGAGAGGAGCAGAGAGGAGCAGAGAGGAGCCGAGAGGAGCCGAGAGGAGCCGAGAGGAGCCGAGAGGAGCCGAGAGGAGCCGAGGGGAGCCGAGAGGAGCCGAGAGGAGCCGAGAGGAGCAGAGAGGAGCCGAGGGGAGCAGAGAGGAGCCGAGGGGAGCCGAGAGGAGCCCAGAGGGGGCCGAGATTGTCCGAGATTGTCCGAGATTGTCCGAGATTGTCCGAGTGTCGCTCCTGCGTCACGAAGAGGCGGATGCCGGTCGGCTTGTGCGTCAGGTCGATCGCCGTCTCGACCTGATTCAAGAGCCCCTTGCCTCATTCATCCCCGCTCCTCAATCTTTGGCCTCGGGTCGACCGCCGCGTCGACCTTGTTGACGTTTTGCCCGCCCGCGCCGCCCGAGCGAGCCGCGTGCATCTCGATGTCGCCGGGCTTGATCTCGACGGCAACCTCGTCCACCTGCGGGGGAGATGTGGGGGAGGTGTGGGGGAGGTGTGGGGGAGGTGTGGGGGAGGTGTGGGGGAGGTGTGGGGGAGGTGTGGGGGAGGTGTGGGGGAGGTGTGGGGAGATATGGGGAGATGTGAGAGGAGAGCATGAGCATCGATACTAGTGAGCAGAGGAGAGGGAGGTGAGAGGAGAGGAGAGGAGAAGGAGAAGGAATTAGTGGGCGCTACTGCAAAGAGAGGAGAGGGTAGGAGGAGGACTAAAATGGGCGCCAACATAAAGCGAGGAGGAGGACTAAGTGGGCGCTAGAAGAAAACGTGAGGAGGGACTAAAGTGGCTGATCCGTCTCCGCCGCGCGCGCCGGTCGGCAGCAGCAGCAGCTTGAGTCGGCCGTCGAGCGCCTCCATCGCCTCCTCCACCTCGCGGATCTCGGCGCGCGCCATCTCGCGCAGCTCCGCGTCCTCCTCGTTGAACAGCTCCTTGCCCTCCTCCAGCCGCTGCTCGAGGCTCTCCCACTCGGCGAGCGCCTCCACCGTGCTGTCGAGCTTGGAGCGCTCGCGTGAGACGCGCAGCATCTCCTCGACGTTGGCCTGGACCGCCGGGTCCTCCAGCTGCGCGCCGAGCTCGTCGTGCACCTTGCGCATCTCACGCAGCCGGTCGAGTACGAACGCATCCACCATCACCGCCGCGCCGCCTCTGCGAGAGCACATCGCTGGCAGCGGCGGCGCCCGCGGCGCAGCAAGCCAGCCATGAGCGATGAGCGGCAGAAGCAGCGGCCCGGCCATGAGCTGTGAGCTTGGAGCGGCCACGAGGAGCTGAACGCGGGAGGAACTGCGCGGGAGGAAGCAGCGATAGGCAGCGATAACCAGCGACGCGTGTGAGCACACTGCGAGCTCGAAAAAAGATGACCCGCTATGTGTGAGGTTGATGACTGCACTCCAAGTGCTCCAAGTGCAAGATGCTCCAAGTGCTAACGATCGCCATACAGACATGGGTGCGAAACAACGACAAGACCAAGGCACGGGCAGAGGAGAGAGAGAAGAATATAGGGTGGATAAAGCGCCTGTTCACGGCATGGAGGGAGGGTGAGCCACGCTGAACGTAGAGCCGAACGGGAGGAAGCCGGGGAAGAAGACTCCGAGGAGGACGAAACACCAGTGGTGCAGTCTGTTGCGGGCATTAAGAAAACAGGATCTGGGGTCCCGTACCATGCGGAATCGACCCTATCCAGTGCTCAAGTGCTCAAGTGCTCAAACAGGATCTCGCTAGGGTGCCCACAGGGCCCAAAAAAAGAATGACATGGGATGTGTCTTGTGAGCCTGTTTGTGTCTGTGTGTCGCTCGTGCGTGTCGTCATCATCTGTCTAGCGTCCACCCATACCGCGTTGGTGTCCAGTCCGAGCCTGGCTGTTCTTCACCTTTCTACCTACCTATACCTACCTGGATGTGAGGTTGATGACTGCACTCCAAGTGCTCCAAGTGCAAGATGCTCCAAGTGCTAACGATCGCCATAGGGATCCCTACAGACATGGGTGCGAAACAACGACAAGACCAAGGCACGGGCAGAGGGAGAGAGAGAAGAATATAGGGTGGATAAAGCGCCTGTTCACGGCATGGAGGGTGAGCCACGCTGAACGTAGAGCCGAACGGGAGGAAGCCGGGGAAGAAGACTCCGAGGAGGACGAAACACCAGTGGTAATCCCGTCGTCAGCTGTAACGATGCACCCGAAGGGGACCCCAGCGCCAGCATCATCCGTGAAGGCACAAGTGTTCGAAGAGAGAGTGGACCTGAGCAACGATATGACTCGGCGGCAAATGATCGCAGTGGGCGTCAGAAGAGTCGTCCTTGCGCGAGGAGAGCTCGATAAACTCGAGGGGCCAAAATGTGCCGCGAGGAGGGCAGAGCTGCGCCGAGCAGCGAGAGCAAGGGAGCGGCAGGCGGCGGCACCGTCGCAGGACGAGGCAGAGGAGAGCGACGCGACAGAGGAAGAAGCGACAAAAGAGAGAACGACGAGAGTGGGACGACCGCGGGGACCGGGGTGGCATGAGCCTTGACTTCGCCTGGGGTCCATGCCCGAAGCCCACCCTGTGAATGTAGAAGGTAGCCATCCATGGTTTGCATAGTTGGCTCAATTATAGAGTCGGGATTTAAAGCTCAATTGCACGCGCGCACAAACACCCACGGCATGAAGGTTGCAGCGAGAGTCGGCGAGAGACTCACAGCGACTGCGAAGAGAGATAGGAAGAGGCGGACGCCCAAGGGTGGGCGACGGCTAGCGCATCACACCCCTCTCCTTAAAATCCCTGTGTGGTGGCGGCGTGCCGTCCTCCCATCCCTCCCTTGGGGTTGGGCTGTCTGTTTTCTTTCTTTCTCTTTCTCTTTACGAGGTAAAGGTACGAGGAGAGGGGGGGGGGCGGGGGGAGGGGGGGGAGCACGATTTGATCGATTGATAGGTACGAAACACCTAACATCCAAGTGGTATCGCCCTCTTGCGTTGTGGCAGACGACGGCTTCAGACTCGAGACTGGCGCGGCGTGCGTTCAGCCAACGGCCGCGCGGTCCTCCACAAACGAGGGCTCCCTCTTGGACCGCCGGGCCGCCTCAAATCCATGACCCATCTCGCTCCGCCGCTCGGCGCGGTGCATCGCCTCCTCGATCGCCTCCGCCAGCGCGTGCGCTAGGGTGCTCGTCTGCACCCCAAAGCGTGCCGTGAGACGACAGCCACCCGCCACGAGTCCCTGCCACGAGACAACCGCCTATTCGCGTCCAGAGCTGAGAGCAGGAAAGGATGCGATAGTCGCGGCCCGCATCGAGACCGCCGCCTCCGCTGCCGCCTTGAGCGCGAAACTCGCGTCAGGCATCTCTGCACCGCGTGCCCCGGCGCCTAGGCGATAGGGAGAAGGGCACGTACATGCCGCCCCCTCGAAGATGGGGAAGCGCGTGTTGGGCCCGCGGGAGCGCGACGCTGCAAAATGCGCACCCAAGAGTGGCACAGCGACAGACACCAAGCCGTGGCGCTGAGCCGCGTCAAAGGCGGAGCGGTACGTCGCTGTCGCGTGCTCGGCCCAAGCGTCCCCCTCAAGCTCTCCAGGGCGGTAGAGAAGGGCACGACCTTTTCACAGGCAAGAGGGTGCCAAAAGAACGACCCCGGGAGCACACGGTGGCAGAACGCGCGCCGCGTGCACGATTGTGCCGTACATCTCGCGCAGCTCCCCGTGGCTGCTCGCAGCGGTGGCGGGAAGGGGCGTGAGGAGGTGGCGTCAGGGTTGGAGGAAGGTTCGAGGAGGAGCGAGGAGGGGATGTGGCGGTGGCGACGCGGCCGGTGGTGGGGCACGATGCGTGGACGGTGAGCAAACGGGCGGCGGTGTCTAACAGCCGGCTTCGACTATAGCCTCGCAAGGTGCCTGCTCCCGACCACGGCGCCGCCCGCGGGACACCGCACGCCTTGGGCGTCCGCCGGAAAGCGGGGAACAGTCCTATGAGGTGACGAGAGCGGGGAACAGTCTTGCAACCTCGACGCTGCCAAGAGATCGCCAACTCACACCAATAGGCAAGGGTGGTTAGGGATACCAAGCAAATAATACGAGATTCTAGAAAGGCACGAGAGACTGTGCGCAGCTCAAGGCCGCACCTTACGTCGGGTCTCCGTAGAGCTCCAACCAGCACTCATCGCGGGGTGTGAAACGCGTGCCCGCAAGCCGCTCGTTCGCTGGGTTGACGAGCGCGTCGTTGGCACCCTCGCCGCCGGGCGGATGTGTTACGATGCAAGCGGTGCGGTGCACCTCTATCGATAGCGGCGCTCCCTCCCAACCACGCACATACTTGCACGCCGGGCGGCCGGGCAGCTTCTGCGCACTCCACGCGCGCCACTGGTCAAGGCCTCCGTCCGTGGTGTCGCGGCCCAGCGCACGGGTGGACGCGGACCTCGCGCCTCGCGAGCGGCACATGGCGAGCCTCAGTGCAGGTCCGACGCGGCGAGGGGCGCGCATGAGCAAAGCGATCTTGACGGCGAACCAGCGTCTCACGAGAGATTCATTCCGTACTCAGTACGACGTTACTCTCTCTCTCTCTCTCTCTCTCTCTCTCTCTCTCTACGTGTTAGGTATCTTGTTGGCAAATCAGGACACCGAGCTCACACAAATTCACAGCCTTGTTATGAGAAGAAAATACGTCCTATGGCGCTATGCGCTGTGGTCTGCAGATGGATAACTAACTGGATACCCATCACTGAGCCGACAATGCTACGGGTAGCCCCGGGGGGGCGCCCACCCCCATACCCTCGGGCACTTGCCTGCGCCCTCACGCGCTAGCCCACGCCCTGCCCGGGCGCGTCGCCCGCTTGCTCTAGGTGAAACGTCTTAAGGAAACGACACGAGAGGGTCGGCCCGACGGCGGGCGGAGTAGACGGGCACTGGACCAGAAAGGACCGGGACAAGACCTTGTGTCTTGATTTGCCAACAACACACCTCTATACGTATTCACAGATAGGTTGATAAGAAACAAGAAGCTCACATCGCACAGACAGTGAGGGTAATTGCGCCGCGGCTCAATCCACAGGCGCAGCAGCATTACGAGGCATTCTCCAAGCACGGCCTCTGGCGATAAATAAATAGACAGGCATATCCAACACCACACTTAAATCCGTCACGTTGGCGGCCAGTGAGCTTTTGCGCCTCGAAACCCCCCAAAAAAGAAATGATCGTGGTTTACGCGGCAATTTTGTTGCAACAAAGAATGATCCGCCGCGCACAGTGCGACACCATGCTGAAGCCGCAGCCCTCCGTCGAACTCATAAAGGGCGACACCAAGACCGGGTACAAGTGCGTCCTCTACAAGCTCACCAAGGACCCTACGCGGCGCTACAAAGTCGAGGTCTCCCGCAAAGGCGTGAAGACTACCCTCGGCCGCTTCGCGACGCCGGAGGAGGCCGCGTACTGCTACGCGCTCTCGCCAGAGGGGCTGGAAGATGCGGCCAAGCTCGCCGAGGCGGAGGCGCTGCAGAAGGAGCAGGACATGACGAGCGCCCAGGCCAGAGCGGCGGCCGCCGGGGAGGGGCTGGAGCTGCGTACGAACGGCGGCTCGGGCTTTGTGGGCGTCCACCAATCAAAGACCTGCAAGCTGCCTTTCTCGGCACAGGTTACGCGCGGCCGCAAAACCACCACCCTCGGCTACTTCTGGTCGGCCGAGGCGGCCGCGCTCTGCTACGCCCGCTCGCCCGAGGGCCGGGCGGCGGCGGAGGCCAAGCGGGCCGAGGCGCATGCGCCTCCGCCGATGACAGCAGCTGCTGCGCTGGCGGCGGCGGCGGAGGAGGGGCTGGTGCTGCCCACGTCGGGGTCCTCGGGGCAGGGGCGGCGGCAGGGGGAGACCTCGCGCTTCCTGGGTGTGCAATGCGCGGTCAGAGGGCGGCTGCAAGTCCGCGCCTCTTATTGCCGCGACGGACACGAGATCATCCTCGGCTACTTCGCCACCGAGGAGGAGGCCGCCCTCTGCCGCGCGCGCGAGCTCGCGGCTCAGGCCGTCGCCCCCGCCGCCGCCGACGAGCTCGCCCTCACTTGCCCCATCTGCATCGAGCCGATCGACTCTCACCCGGTCGCCACCACCTGCCTGCACGTCTACTGCCGCGGGTGCATCGAGGAGTGGCGCGAGGTCGAGGCAACCTGCCCGATGTGCCGCGAGCCGCTCAACGGGGCGTCGGGGCCGTGGCTCACGGCCGTGCCGCTGGCGGCCGCCGCGGACACGAGCACCTTCCCGCGGCAGCGCACCGGCTGGAATCCCTCGCAGCTCACCGGCTGGAATCCCCGCGAGTGGCAGCAGATGCTCGTGGAGCAGGCCTCCGTCGAGGCCGCGCGCGCCGCGCGCGCCGAGGCCACCGCCCGCTCCGACGAGCAGCAGGCGGCGTTCGTGTACCGCAGCGGCGTCCCCCGGCCCGTCGACCTGGCACGGGCCGGGTACCGTCCGCTCTTCAGCGCACGGCGTGGCGGGCACATGGCCCGCGGCGAGGCGCACCCGCGGGCGGCGAGGCCCGTCCGCCCCGACCCGCCCGGCAACAACTTTGCCGAGGTCGAGGAAGCGCGGCGACGCCTCGACGCGCGGCGCCGCCTCGACGCTGACACTTCCAAGAAGCAGAAGAAGGGGGAGGGGCAGTAGACCGCCCAGCTCTCTCTCTCTCTCTCTCTCTCGCCCCCTCTCTCTCGGCGCGCCCCAGTCGCGCCCCCGTCTCTCTCTTTTGCGAGACGTGTGTGTGTGCCGAGGCTCTCTCTCGCTCTCGCCCCCTCTCTCTCGGCGCGCCCCAGTCGCGCCCCGTCTCTCTCTTTTGCGAGACGTGTGTGCTCCAAGGAGAGGCGCGGCGAGTGTTGGCCCCCGGTTACGTCAAGCCCGGTTGTAGCGTGTGGGCCGCGCTATCAAAGACACGTTAAACGAAGCAGTGCACCGAAAGTAGACGGTGGGTGAGTGGGCGCGTTGCGATCTCCTGTGGTGCAGCACGATGTCGATGTGACACAGCCGACGCGCTCGCAGAGCGAGTGGTCCTGACAGCCCCGCCACCGCAGCCATCCCGGTTTCCCTCCGACGAGCCGAGTGCACGAGGCGTGGTCTTCTGGGCTCGTGGCTCGATGCGGGCACGGTTTTCTCTCCGCACGGTTGGGTTCGCCCCCTAGTTGCGGATCCCGCCGAGCCCGCTCTGTACCGCCAAGCCGGCTCGCCTCCCCGCCCTGAGGCCGTCACCGGTCGCGGCGCGTCGAGCAGCGCACCAGTGCCCCGCGAGCAGCCCTGCTCGCCGGGGCGGCCCGAGGCGGCGGCGAGCGGGGCGGGCGGCGCCACCTCGGGCGCAGCGGCCTCTTCCGGCTCGGCGGGCAGCCTTCCCGAAGCGGCGGCGGAGAGAGCGGTGGCGGAGGCGGAGGCGGCTCGGCATGCCGAGGTGCTGCTGGCGGAGGAGGAGGCGGAGAATTTGGGTGAGCGCGCCAAGGAGAGCAAGAAGGGGAAGAAGAAGAAGAAGAAGAAGAAGAAGAAGAAGAAGAAGAAGGGGAAGGGCGGCGGGGGCGGCGCTGGGCCGTCGCGGGAGCCCGAGGATGAGACAGCGCTTACGGCGGAGGAGGAGGTGGAGTTGGCGGCGGCGCTCGAGGAGAGCGCGAGGCTGGAGGAGGGGAGGCGGGCGGCGGAGGCGCAAGGGCCGTCCTCGGCTGCAGAGGCACCGGCTCCGACGGAGGAGGAGCCGCCGGCCGACTTCATCTGCCCGATCACGACCGAGCTGATGAGTGACCCGGTGATGGCGGCGGACGGGCATTCGTACGAGCGGACGGCGATCGAGCGCTGGCTGGCGACCAAGTCGACGAGCCCGATGACGGGCGGCGCGCTCGTGCAAAGCTTCCTCGCCCCCAACCACACGCTGCGCCGGCAGATCCGGGAGTGGGAAGAGGCGAACGCATGCTGAAGAGCGCAGCGCTTGCGCCGCCCGCCGCCGTCGGCCGTCGGCAGCGGCTCACACCGTGGGGCGGGGCCGGCGCGGGTGGGTCTGCTGAGACTACGCGCCCGGAGAGGATGGCGGCAACGTCATGGTGAGTGAGTGCGAGAGACACGTCAGTCAGCGACCCTGGAAACTCTGAGCCCGAGGGCATAGTCCCACTTGTCGCGGGGTCGCCGCGCGCTGTCGACCTCCTCCGCCGAGTCCCGGATTGATTCATATTGACCCCTTTCATGTATGTATGTATAGAAAGATGAACAACAGCCAGGCTCGGACTGGACACCAACGCGGTATGGGTGGACGCGAGACAGATGATGACGACACGCACGAGCGACACACAGACACAAACAAGCTCACAAGACACACCCGCTCCGCATGGAATGAGCTCAGGACACTCTACCTCAAGCATGTTCAGCCCATTGTGCTCGACTCCTTCGGGAACCTCTTCTACCCTGTTCTCGACTGGATGAAGGAGAACAAGTTGGAGCTGTATGCTGCTCAGGTGAGTGGTGTCACCTTTGGAGACCTCTTCTGGCCCCGCTCACACACCGACGACGACGCCTGGTACACTGTCCTTGTCCCTCTGGACGACCCGAGTGGGGGTGTTGTCCATGGGGGTGATTTTGCTTTTCCAGAGGCCGGCTGGGTGCTCAAGTGCGAATGTGGGGACGTGCTCATTTACGGACCATGGCACCTGCATGGGACAACAGAGTTCTGGATTGACGCCGCCAAGAAGGGGCGCATCTTTGCGGCCTTTTACATGAAGAAGTCGACAGTCACTGCAGCAGGCATCACTGGCAACATGCCGGCAAGGCCGGTGAAGCTCCCCTATGGATTTTGTGGAGAGGAGTCGGACTGAGGAGGGGGAGAGTGTGTTCTTATCTTTTATCTCAACAACAAAGATACACACATGTATGCAACTTTGAGATTTTGAGAGCCTCTCTGGGCACTGGGGTGATGTGTGGGGAGTACATGTCGACGAGGCCGTGCCTGACTGCCTGTGAGGATATATGGGGGGGGATATGGGGAGATGTGGGGAGACGTCGAGTACGCG